TACTACTAATCGAGCGCTGTGGCGCACGCACGGGTGTGAGGCTGACCATTGCGACGGGAAGAAGATAAAAGGCGGCCGAAACCATCGTGAAAAAGATGGAGAGCGGGACGAATGGGGTCCTGAGTCGTGACTACATATGGAGCTCGTTAATGCTTGTTGACGATTTGACATTTACCACGCTCCTTCTGTCCAGCTGACCCTTGGGTTTATGCAGGGAGGCGGCAAGCTGCATGATGGATGGAGAATACCATGCAAGAGCTGCTTGATTATATGCAGATTGATTGTTTGCTGTTGTCTGACCGCCACTACTCTGTGCAGTGACAACACATCTGATGCGGGGTTGACAAAAGAGGCATGTTGAAGCAGAGTCAAGCAGATGGCAGAGTAGGTAGTATGCTTCAGTACGCCTACAGACGGATATAGACAGATCCGTGGGATCCATGGTCGCAACAGTCTTAGGCTGTGAGATGGTGAGATATGCTCAGCGCTAGTTGGCTATTTTAGTGCAGAAGTTACAGCAGTATCCGTGAGTAGTTAGTTGAATGTCTGGGTGTCTCATGTATGTGGTGTCCATCTGACAATGTCCGAAAGCGATGCCTAATATGCCGAAGACGAAACCCTGAGCAAGGAGAAATAGATCTAACAACCAGCCGATATTCCGATTGGGGACAGTTAGATAGGCAATAGGACACCGCTATGTGAGGCGGTATTCGTCACGTCAAGGTGGGCAAGTGGGATAGAGGAGTAAAGAAGGAATTACAAGTGGGTCTTGAAGTTCGACTGCCAATGAGCGAAGCGAAGCGACGGGGAATTCCAAAGACAAAATCCAAGACACGGGGATTTCGACTCGAACTTGGTAAGGATTTGGCGGTGACGACTCACCATGCCGTCCGCTGAAGAGCAGAAAGTAGGGAAAAGAAGAAGAGAAACAATGAGGCACGCGCCACTCTCTGAGCTAATGCATCCTGGCTTGGTGGAAAGAAGCAAGTAAAGACCACCTGACCGCCACAGCGATGGCGTGCGAACGAGGACGGGCAAGGGCTCGTGGATGGGCGAAACAAAGACAGAACAAGAGCGAGGCAATATGATTGAGTTGAATGGCAATCAACGGCCTCGTGCGGGGAGGCTTGGGCCTGTCATCACCCGATCTCTTTTTCGCCTTTTTAGTTGACGACTTGATGATCAATTTACTAGTTAATTAGTTGATGAAATTTTGGCTAGTAAAATGGAGCAGGTGGTGTGCTAATCCAAACATTGCCAAGTTACACCAGTAAACTCCGAAATAGTTGCGAAAAATATCGGTAGCGATGCCGAAATAATGACGGGGCTAATTAATAGATAATCAACGTTACAAGTACCTGGCGAACTTAGAATTAATAATGGTCCCCATCTGATGAGACAAATCACGCGGTAAAGGGGTTTTGTGATGATATCTCAGACGGCAAGGCCCATCTTGGCAGACAAAACGTGGGCAAAAAAATGAAGCGACCAAGCCAATAAAACCCTCTTAACTCGGTCGCTAGCGCAAGCCTCACAGCTGCCCCAGTGGCTCCCCCCCACCGCAAACGGAGATGGCTTGGCTTCCTTTGCGGGGAAACTATGTCAGGTCAGCTGGACCAGCCATCATGTCAGGGCCAGGAACCAGAGGGCAACACCAGGCTCAAACCGGCCAAGCCTCCTGGTGCCTGACAACAAGTTGTGGGCAATTGGGTTAATGATTTCATGTCAATACCTATTTTTTTGATGATTTGATTGCGAGCGCAAGACAAGAATCGTGAAAACGACTGGTCGACTTTGACACGGGCGGTGATGCAACACTTGGCCCATTGCGGAGCATTAATAATAGTTATGCGATGGCGATGAGAACGCCTCGCAAGCCTAATACTGGGTCCTATTTTTGTGCTGTATATGTGAGACGGGAAAGCCCACTGCTCAAAAGCCTAACGTGGCAATTGGCATCAGGTGCGGGGTGATGAGAGAGAGAGATGGGCAGCCCGACGCCATGTACGGATTACGTCGTTATTTGATAACGGTGATGAGACAAGAGCGCAGCACTATTTGTTTGTGGCAGCAGTGTTTTGTTGCCAGCACTGTTTGTGACGACACAAAGGCATCTCACCCTCCCTTGCGCAAGCCTCAGTCAGACCATGCATGTACATTGGGCGCAGAGCCTACGAGGAGTGATTATACAGCAGTACAGAGTAGTTGGTGGACAAGGCGAATAAAAAAGGACAACTTTGTTTCCGCATTCGAACAAGAACATGCACTGACCAGTTGCGCTCTGTGAATCGTGATGCACCCGACCACTCGGAGATGATCTCAGCCGTGCGCGCAAATCTCCTAGCGGCGTTGACAAGCCAATATTAATCAAAAGTAGTCCACGGCCATGGTGCGATTCATGACCGCAATAGGAAAAAATGTCACGGACAACTTCTTTTTTTTTTGCTTCTTCCCTTTTTTTCACCGCGCCTGCTTTATCGCCGCAATCCCGGTAGAGCTGGAGCTAATTTGCACCACTGGGCCAATGGCTGCTTGTCGGCTGACTGGGCAAGTCATTAAAGTCTGCTGGCTTTTGTCGGATGTCTGTGCAAAGGGAAAAAATGAGAGAAAAAAGAGGGGAAATAGACGGCTTGCGTGGATACCATGACGACGATGGTGCTCATAGTTAAAGGCTCCGCGCAAGCCCAGGGCAGGCAGGCAGGCAGGCAGGCAGGCAGGCAGGCAGGCAAACACGGGCAACTTTATCGCAGGCACGGCTGCTCGTTTTACGGACAGCTAGTGCTCAGTATACGAGTTGAGAGATGCTCTCAGCCCTTTTACGACATGGCTTGTCGATCAAGTCCTTGGTCGCCTCATCAGGGCTTGCGTCAGCCGCAAGCTGTTAACTAATTTGAGAGAAAGATGCTCGTGTACCTTTGACTAGTGAGGTGCGCTAACGTCGGGAGGGTGTGCGAGTAACTTTGTAAGCAAGCCGAAAGCAGGTTCGAGTCTGAGGCGGCAAGCAATGGATGTCTTTGGCACAGAAAAAAAAGAAGGAGTGAATGGGCTCGTTGGTGATAGACGGTTTCGAGATGGAACTAATGGAATAATTGGGTTGTCAAGTCTTGTCCATGCCTGACGATCAAGAGACGTGCAGAGCCGCCGCGTGCTTGCGTGCCAAACAAGTCGTTGGCCGGCTGCAGATCAACGTCATACATGCATTTAAACTTCATCCCTTCAATACACAGCCATCTCAACATTGGCGCACTCATCGGCCAGCGGCCGGGGGATGAGCGGTCTATTGATTGCACCAACCGCAGTTCGCTCTCGGAGAAATAATGGAATTCAAGAGAAAAACAGTATCCAAGACGCTTTGGATAGACAGAGACTCTTGGGCCTTGATCCAAGAAAAAGTTTTCAGCTACCTATTCCCGCCATCTGTGTAGATGCTGCGTCTGTATGTGCTTCGCTCATTTCCGGGCTGCTCGGAGGTATAGGCCAGAGAGTTGATGAATTACGAACCAGACGAGACATGATTTTCTTCTATTTCATACGTTGTGCTTATGTAGCGGGTAACGGAATTAATCCATGTGAAACAGATGAGCGTGAATCAGACGACTGCGGCCTTCACGGAGCGTGAAGCGGGAGAACGTTCTCGTCCCCGACTGATTACCTATTAAAAGAGTATAAAAAGATGCAACCACTTTAAATTACTACTTTACGCGCCAGTGCGAAATGTTTCGGCAGGGGCATCTTGGTGCACATTGTCAGGTACAAGCCAGGAACGGAACGAGAATCAGACACTGTGGAACTTGGCCGAGGCCGAAAGAAGCAATGCGAAAAGAGGCTGCGGCAATGCCTACGGCTGAAGTGTTAGAGTCATTGGTGAGCATGGCGGAAATTAATACGCACATTTTCTTTTCTGCTTTCTTTTCGCTTAATGAGAGAGAAAAGCCGCACGTCATGGTAACGGGTATGATCGTATTATTGAGGCCACTTTCACGATATAACCAGGCATTGTGACAAAACAGAAAAAAAGTTTAATACTTTTTTTACAGAGCAACAAGAGTACGAGGGCAACAAGGGCCAAGAAAACGAACTCTTGGGAGATAAATCCACCCACACCCCCACCCCACCGCATCGCCCTAAAACGAAGCCCACTCTTTCGTTTTGCCAGCTGGGCAGCACCTTGTTGCCGGTTGCCAGTTGCCAGTTGCCCAGCAAACAGCACCGAAGCCGGCAAAACGCCGCAACTGGCGGACCGCCATCACCAAACGTGGTCCATGTCTGCCAGCTGCCAGAGTGTGGTCGCGCACTCCCCACACACCCCCCTCGAACCCCTGCTGGCAGGCGAGTCCGATTCCACACTGCAGGTGCCTGCCTGCCTGGTCCTGCCTGCTTGTCTTGCTGCCCTGCTGACCGCCGCGGAGCTGCTCATGTCCGCTTGACTTGCCAATTGCTTGCAGTATGACTGATAATTAGTTAGTGCCAGCCTAGCCCAGAGCCGGCCTTGCCCAGCTGCGCAGCCCCTCCCGCCTACGGCCAAGAGCCATCGTCATCCTTCTCCACTTCATCCACACCCCTCTGCGCCGCTGCCCACACTTGCTCGTACTCCGGAAAAGACAGACGGACACCACGCACGCAGCCCCAACGCATATATGTAATCCTGCCCGCCCGCCTCATCCGCAGTCCATTCCTCCAACTCGATTATTATATTCAGCCACCACCAGCTTTTTATACTACTCGGCATATACCGAAGCATCACCGCGTTGCTCTCATCACTCATTGACCGATTTACAATACCGTACTGCCGGTTCAACAACTGCCACTACAAGTGTCTAGCACTTACAACACTCAAACGTCATCACCACCTCTGGATTCACTCGAACCTCTCGCGGCCGATTGATCCGCCGAGACCACGGCCATCCACCAAGTAGCTCGGTATATATTCCTTGATATATACACGAGCTTCTTACCATTGCTTTTCAAACACACACTATACAACACAACCCACATACAAAATGCACGTTCTCAACGGCTTCAGCACGAGGCGCAAGTCGCCCAAGCCCAGGGACCTGCACATTCGCAAGATCTCCTTTTCTGGCTGCTCGCTCTCTTCTGGCTGCTCCATCGACTCTGCCTCGACAACCTCGACGACCCGCGGTCCCAGCCACCACCGTTCCGACAGCGATGCCAGCTACGACCCTCTCCGCCTGCACCCCATTGCCCAGCCGCCGCCGCGGCTACACGAGCGTGCCTACATTCCTTCGCCCAGACGCCGCCAAGACGACTCTCCCCGCACATTCTTCCACGACGCTGGCAACAACAGCGGCAGCGCGTGGTCAGGGTACGGCGTCAGCGTCTTCGAGTACGACGACAGCGACACCGAGGTCGATGAGGATGAGGACGCCGCCGTCGTTGAGCAGGTGCAAAGCAACAGCATGCCACCCATGACAACGCCCGTCGACCATGACGACGCCGGCGATGTGTCAGACGACGACGACTACTTCTTCATGAAGACGTTGGCCAAGCGCCCGCAAATGCCGCGTTCGCACTGGTCCGAGTCCACCATCCAGACCCTCGCCCAGCTCACACCCGCCGTGAGCAGCACCATTGCTACGCCGGCCGAGCGGCTTGAGGATCCCATTGAGCAGGCCCGCATGATGCTACCCAACCTTAGCCGAAAGCACGATACCGTTCCAGCCCGTCCACGCATGAGGGCCATGGACAGCGTCGAGCAGCTCGTCAAGCGTGGCGGCTGGAAGCGCAAGGCCATTGTCATGGACAAGCAGGAGAACATTGACCCCACCGACATCTAATTTGTTCTTTCATATACAACAACAACAACACAGCACTCACAACCTCACCTCTCTACACATTCAACTCAGTCATACAAAACCACTCTCCTTGACGATTCGTCACTTTTCTTTTCTGTCTTGCAATTCACTAGCATGTTTTGGGACATATTGGGTATACACCACACCGGCGCATTTATACCATTTTTTGTTATTATCGGGAATCAGGAATTTCACGGCTGTTTGTTACAGACATCGGGACCAGCACCAATATGCTGAGATTATTGTTATACTCTTCTATTATTATCTAGTTTATTTGTCTTTGGTTAGCAAGGCAATGAGCCTTTGCAACCACTTTGATACCAGCGCGCCAGAGGCCCGCCGCAGCAAAACAATGCTACAACTTTTTTTCCTCGTCGGATGAAATTTTTCCCTTTTGCTTCACTGAACGTGCAATCTCGCTAATCAGCCACCGTGAATCGTGCCCTTGAGCCCGAAACCCAAGCCATAGCCAATAGTCGACTGCAAAGACCCTTGTCCAGCTGTGGAGAGTCACGGTCCCCAACAGTCTACAAGATTAAGTCGTGCGTTTTTTTGCTCAGCCCTTTTGTTTCCCCTTTGGGCTGGGCGCCTGTGGAGTCGTGTAATTTCGCCTTGTCCGCCAAAAGAAAAAAAAAATTTCCAATTGCGCATTCTCCGAGCGCTAATTGATCGGTTTGGAATTATTTTTCTTGTGCTTTTTGCAGGGTCGCGTAGGGCGAGTTGACAGTTCTGTGTAAGAAATCGGGCTCGCAAGAATTATCTAAGCATGTTGTGGACTCTGTATCCGTAGATTTGTCACCATCCTGCCTTTTGTTCTTATTCTAGTAGTAATTGATGGCTTGAATTTTTTAATTTTTTTTTTAATTTTTCTCTTCTAGACTATGCCGCGAAAACTTGTCATGATAATTTCCCAAAGTTGTGTCAAAATTGACATATTACTACAGAGTACTTGTCCGAAATTGACATAAACTTGTACGACTCATGTCAAAGGGTTCAACGAACCCGTTCTCCGCGGGGCCGCCCCAAACTCGACTGACGTCGTGCACATTTATTCACGCACAAGAATTCTCGTACTCGGGCGCCACGGCGTGCAAAAATAGATTGAGTGATGCTTGGTGCGGACCCTGTTCCGGCCCCCAACCCGGCGTATCGCGCCAAAAGGTGAAAATCCACAGCCTCGCGCCACGTTGGCATTACGAAACCCGAAAGAGGCAACAAATTCATCGGAATCGATACTACGCCAAGAAGATATTTCATCCATTTACGGCAATTGTTTCACAGAGAAGAATTACTACTTTTTTTCTCCTTCTTCTTCTTTTTCTTCCTCTTCTTCTTCTTCTTCTTCTGACTTTCTCCTGCAGGCCACCAACTGTTGGGGTGCTGTCGCACGCCCTCTACGGATACTGGGTATCAAAGCACAACCAGGCAAAAAAAAAAAAAAAAAAACGTGAATCCGCACTTGCCGCAGCATTTGAGGCTCCCCCCACTCATCCGCATTCCAAATCGGCGGCACAATGTCTTACAAACATTGTGAATAGATTAATTTTCAGGGGTCTATGACCTCTGTGGGCCACGTCATTCTTCGCAGCATGTCCGAGGAAAAAAGCAAAGAAAAAAAAGGTTAATGCGGAAAAAGCTCACGCGATGGGCTTTTGCTTTTGCTTTTTTTTTTTTTGTCACGACGCGCATTATTCTTTTCGTTTGAGCTAAACGAAGAACCCCTACATGCCTCTCCACGCCTCTTACCAGTCAACCGGTACATTTCCGCGCACATCGCAGAAAAGTCTGTCATCGCGGGGTGTCACACACGCCCTCTTGCTTGGCAAGCAGTCGGCAAGCGGCCGAAGCCGTGCCCCTGCACTCCTGGGGGCAGTGCTGGGCGATTTTTCTCGTCAGTTTCATCCTTTCTCTCCTTCGGTCGGCGACATGGGTTCGGGGAATGAGACGGTCTTCCTTCTTCCATCGGAATCTTGCCGGCGCGCCGTTTGCCGATACCCCTCCTCGTCAATTTTCTAGACTATTTTGTCCCATGTAACCTCACTTGCTTACATTAGTTGTCAGCTCAACCAGCTTCTTCTCGCCACTTCCGTCGAGGCTGAGACCTTTTTCAGTTTGTCATATTTGCACAACTTGATACATGTCTTTCAGCCTCAAACGGGTGGCTTTTGTCTCTCGGTGGCATTCCGTCTTGTATACTATACGTCGAACAACACTTGATGGTTGACAGGTATTCGTAAGCAGGTAAGCAAGGGGGCGAGCCTCGGCAGTGAAACTTTACCGTGACGGCGCCGTCTGATGTCTCTTCTGTATCCGTAATGTATCAAGTAATGGATGATACTGTTCTTGAACAAAAGCATCGTATCATAGTCTGCATTGTAAATTGCGCACTGGAGCCTCGAGAACGCAAGAATACGTAGACGCAAGCTCATTGTATCAAACAGAACATCAAGGATTGTGCCAACAACTGAATTTATCATCACCCGCCTAGTTGCGAGAGTACTGTCATTATACGACTAGCATCTACTCCCGTAGGATAGCTACTCGCTCTCATCCAAAGCGATACGGTCAAGAAACTTAAACGTCGCCAGCCCCTCCTTGACATTCTTCACCATGGACTCGACATCACTGCCCACATAGACGCCAGGCCCAGCCTTGATGCCCGTCCGGTTAATGGCCTCCTTGCCCGTCCCCAAGAACCCAACCGGCTTGCCCCAGTGGAAGCTGTCCGTCACAATCTGGCCCGGCCGCCCCGGCGGGTAATACGTCGACCTCGCGGCGGCGGCGCCCGCGCCCGCCTCAAACAGCGCCGCCGTGCCGTCCGCCACAACCACCGCGTCAAACACTGTCGCGTCCGTCGCCGCCAGCGTCCTGTCCACGCCCTCGACCGTCCTCTCCCCTACCGTGCTCGCAAACACCTTGGCGGCCCGCAGCCCGTCCCTGACCGCCCGGCCCTGCGCGACCGACGCGCCGGACTCGCTGTCGACGAGCACGCCCACGCGCAGCCCGGCAATCGTGGGCAGCGGCGCCGCGCCGTACGCCGACATGTGCGCCGTCGTGTTGTCGTGGTAGTAATGGTCGTCGGGCGGCAGCGGCGGGTCCTCCGTGCCGAGCGCCCGGCCCACGCGCCGCGCAATGTCGTGGCTTATCCTGTTGAGCTGCTTGAGGACGTTTTTCCGGATGCCGGGCTGCACCAGCACGCTCAACTCGAGCCGCAGCACGTCAATGAGCATCTGCTGCTCCGCTTTACTGAGCGAGTTGTAAAAGAGCCGCGGCTGGCTCCAGTGGTCGGCAAAGGTCGCGGAGCGCCGCCGCCCCAGGTGGCCCGGGGCTTGGCGACCCGGCGCGGTGAAGAAGCCGCGGCCGGTCGACTGGTCCGCCTGCAGGGGGGAGCCGTTGTTGAGGGTGTTTGGTGAGTCTGTGTGCAAGGGGGAACAAAAGTCAGCAAAAGCCCCACGTTGTGGTGAGTTTGGGCAAAGGGAGAGAGAGAGGAAGGCTGCACGTACAAGGGGCGGCGTTTTTGTGAATAAAGACTTGGCCGGCGCCGTCGCGGTTGTTGTTGCGCACCCGTGCAATCGGTCGATTGATGGGAAGCTGCTCAAAGTTGGGACCGCCGTGGCGGTTAATCTGCGTGTCCAAGTACGAGAAGATGCGACCTTGGAGAAGCGGATCATCCGAGAAATCGACGCCGCGAACAATGTGTCCAGGTTGAAACTGCAAAGAATCAGCCAGAGCATCTTCGCTCGCGTTTGTGCTTGCACGTACCATGACTTGCTCTGTTTCAGCAAAGTAATTGGCTGGGTTGGCGTCCAGTCTCATCACGCCGAGAGGGTGCAAGGGAGCCAGCTCTTCGGGCAGGATCTTTGTGGGATCCAGCAAATCGAATCCAAATGCAAGTGCCTTGTCCTCATCAACAATCTGAACGTTGAGCTCCCACTCGGGATAGTATCCGGCCTCGATGGCATCGTAGAGGTCCTGTCGGTGAAAGTCGGCGCCTTTGCCGGTGATGTGCTGCGACTCTTCCTGGTAGAGCGATGCCAGGCCCTGCTTCGATCGCCAGTGCCATTTGACCAGCTTTGAATCACCCTTTTCCGTCACAAGACGGTATGTATGAACGCCAAAGCCATCCTCAAACCCCAAAAGTCAGTCAGCCTTGGGGAAATTAGCAGTGTGATGGTGCTGAGCGGGGTGAACGAACCATGTGTCGAAAGCTCCTCGGAACACCATGGCCAGACAAGGCCCAAAAGACGGCATGCAGCGCCGTTGTCTGCTGGCTGAAAAAGTCCCAGGCAGTATCGTGTGCAGTGGACGCCTGCGGAATCTCATTCTTGGACTCGGGCTTCAGAGCGTGAACGAGGTCGGGGAACTGGATGGCGTCCTGGATGAAAAAGACTGGCGCATTGTTCCCGACAATGTCAAAGTTGCCCTCATCGGTATAGCTAAGGACACTTGCGTTAGTCTCCGGGGCGGGCAGCTTTTTTTTTTTTTGCACCCGCGTGGCACCAGAGCGCACAAACTTACAATCGTGTAGCAAAGCCGCGAATGTCTCGTGCCGTGTCCGTGCTGCCTCGTGATCCCAAGACGGTCGAAAAGCGAACAAACATGGGCGTCTTCTTGCCCTTGGCGCCGAGAAACGACGCGGCCGTAATGTTGCCAAAGTCGTCGTAGCTTGTAAAGGTTCCGTATGCGCCGGCGCCGCGGGCATGGACGGCTCGTTCGGGCACCTACAACAACACATACATCATCAGCGAATGAATCTCTTCAACTTTTTTTTGTTTTTTCTTCTTCTTTTATCACGGTCGCCTGGGGAAGAACTTGCACGTTCATGGTCAAAGTGAGTAATCTTCTGGCGAAAGATGAAATCCTCGAGCAATGTCGGGCCCCGATCGCCCGCCTTTAGGCTTTCCTGATCGCTGAAAGGGCCGCCAACGTCAGAGGTGAGGAAGCCAGAAGAGTCGTCCACCTCGTAGCCTTGCATGTGGCCTCGTGAGCCATCTCTGTTGCTGGTAGCATCGACCGACTCTTCTCTTTTCGACAGATAGGCAGGATTCGCATACGGGCATTGGGCGCTCACGAGACCAATTGCACATAGAGCGCCGGCAATGGTAGTGAGTTGCACCATGATTCCTAATAAAACGGTGGTGGTTGGAGGCTACAAGTGTCAACTCACGCAGCGGCTCTTGAAAAGCTGAATTGTACCAGAAGCCGTGCCTTTTATAGTTCATTTACTTTGACGAAGACGGGAGGTGGGTTGCACCAATTGCCCCCCCCCCCTCAGCTGCCACAGCTCCTTCAATTTCAATTGTCTTGCTTTGCCAATCCGGCAGCCGGAGAGTCTATTCCATCCTCGGACCTCTTTGAATCAGCGATCATCCTGTGGGGTATACTGTAGTGTGGTTGCAGTTGCATATTGCAGAGACATGAAGGTCAGTGTGGCTGCCTGGCTGCATGAAGACCCTGGTTACTTTACTTAGTCCTGGGGTTTGGCCAGGGCATAAATAGGTCATGACCAGCTTTTTGAGTCTCGGAGTAGGATATTCGTACATTGCAACACAAAAGTTCTGGTATTGAGCTTCAAGATGGAAAGTGACAGGTTCATGCTGCTGCTATGCCCACGCCCGTAGAAATGTAGGCAAGTCGCATTCAGGTGTCGACGTCGCATAATTGCTGCATATTAGATGCCTTAATTCAATAGTGTATGCCAAGACGAACGACATAAATAGACAACATTTCTGCCAACATAGAGATCTTGGCATCATCACGGCTGATGCATGCCTGCGTCCGTCCAAGCTAGCGCCAGCCAGTATTCTAGGAACAATCTACCTGCTGCCCATGTCCATCAACTCCCAGCTCTCAGCGCCTTTCTTGCTTGTCCCCAGCACAAGTGATGCCCGGCTTTCGATCCGCTCTGGCCTGCATGGCACGCACCAATCACGAGCACTGTATTGGCAACCTCTGCGGAGATGGTCGTTTTCGCAGAGCGAGAACATGTCGTGACCGACTGCCGACTTTTTTTTTGGGGGGTGCAACTCGCATGTACTGGTAGTGCCAATTGTTTGCCAAGAGGGCAAAACGGCTCGGCACGGAGCAGCTTTCTGCATGTTGAGGCTGGCATGTCTGACCAGCTCGGAAGATTCGCGTGTGGCCACTGGCCAGCAGAGGATGAGAAGTGACACCTAGGAGAGACTGTGTGACAAATAACTTTTATCAGCCGCCGTCACACGTCTGGGTCCGGGAGAGGGGTTCAATATTTGCGTCTTGTCTTTCCGACGGGAGTACTATTTGGCATCCTTGAAGATTTCCCCGCAAAAGCTCGCCTGTGTCATCTTAATACAATATCATGCAAACTGTAAAGTGCAGTCGTCCCTCCCAGAATCCATATACTGCCCAAATGCAGACCACAGCAACCATTGCTTGGTGCATGGCACAATTTATTTCCGTCTGCATCGCCCTCAGCTTCCAATGTGAGCGCATCGAAGCAAGCTTGTTATAAACTGAAATCGTTGCATCCTATATTCGTAAACCGCCCCATTCCCGACAGCCTATATCCCACATCGGTAAATTCACACATAATATATGTACACATAGTCAGAAGACGACAAAATTTGCTCCTGTCATGACATATTCAATACCAAATACGCTTAGACCACGGCACCGGCCCTTCACTAACAGAGAGGCGCTTCAATTCATCCCTAATCATTTGGCGACGCTCTACTGCATCAACGGGCACTTTGCTCTTCGCCCAGGGGTCTGGATTCTCCACCGCCCACGACTGCTGCGTGACCTTGCTCTGGATATCCTGCAGCATCTTTCGCTGCTGCTGCGTCGCCTTGTTGAGTTCCTCTTCCTGGTTGGCGCGCGTCTCGTCGGCAAGCTCCGGCTGCGGCTCGGGGTTCGTCGACTCGCGCACCTCGATTTGCTGTCGCTGCAGCCGAGCCTCCTCCTTTGCCTCGCTCTCGTAAAAGACAATGGAGCCGTCCTCAAGCTCCGTGATGCGCGCCTTGAAGCGCTCTGGTAGATGGGGCTTCGTCACGGGCCGGTGCCGTGGTCGGATTGCTTCGCGCAAATCGTTGACTGTGCGTTGCTGAATCACATAGCCGCTGAGGAAGAGCGCTAAAGTGCACAAGAATACTGCCAGAGTTAGTAACTCGCCTTTTTTTTTTTGGTCGCATACCCGTAACGAAGCGCTTGCTTCCGTGCCGCTGGTATGATGCTGGATGGAATGCGACTCACTGACAATGCCTGTCAAGAAGATGGAGACTTGAGACGAAGTAAGAAGGACTTTCTTCATCGTGTTATGTAGGCGCGAGATCAACAGAAATTCCAAGTCAAGACTGATTGAAATAATAGAATTGCAAACTTGTTAAATCATAAATGCATAGATCGACTCATGTCTGTCCATATTTCTTGGACAACTCCAACGTGGTGGCGTCACTGCCTCCCGTTGGCACAGCAACAATCTAATCTTGCCCAGCGCAACTTTTCTAAAGTGCATCCAACCCTCACCTCATACCGCCATCGCGATCGCTTTTAAATCTAGCCAAAACGCAGCTCAAGTCGACAAGGTGCAAAAATCTGTGGCCCGCAAAAACTCGCTTCGACATGTCAAAATCCGATACGATCCCGGCCGATGCGCGGCGCTTCCTCGACGAGCGCGGCAGCAACGTCGGCCTCGCGCCCAACGGCCTGAACCCCGCCAACATTATGGAAAAGGCCGTCAAGGACCGCATCACCGACAGCTACTTTTACAAGGAGCAGTGCTTCGCGCTCAACGAGGCCGACATTGTCGACCGCGTGGTCGAGCACGTGCGCTTCATCGGCGGCACGTCGGGCACCGCGCAGAAGCCGAGCCCGTTTCTGTGCCTCGCGTTCAAGCTGCTCGAGCTGTCGCCGTCCGACGCCGTGCTGGCCGAGTACCTCGCGTACGGCGGCGAGCACTTCAAGTACCTGCGCGCGCTCGCCTGCTTCTACCTGCGCCTCACGCGCCAGGCCAAGGACGTGTACGAGACGCTGGAGCCGTTTCTCGCGGACCGCCGCAAGCTGCGCCGCAAGGGCCGCGAGCGCACGACGCTGACGTACATGGACGAGTTTGTGGATGATTTGCTCAGCAAGGACCGCGTGTGCGCGACGAGTCTGTGGAAGATGCCGAAGCGCGAGATTTTGGAGGACTTGGAGGTGCTGGAGCCGCGCGTCAGTCCCCTCGGCGACTTGGAAGACTTGCTCGAAGAGGAGGATGAGGGGGCCGAGGACGAGGGCAGGACTTCAGAGAATGACAGGAATGGTCGCGAGGAATCGGGTGAAATATCGGATCGCGACGGCATGGACATTGACAGAGAGGACCGCAGAAGCGACAGCCGAAGCCCTTGAAAAGGGTGCACGCATTCTACACGCCAACAAGCACATACACAAATGCTCCTGCACTAAGCTCATCTTGCACATAATTGGCCCCAGGTAGCAGAAAAGGGGCGACAGAGTGGTCCAAGGACAAGAGGACGGGTGGCCGTAGCCAGCTGCTACAGACCCCACGGCATGCCAGAGCAAACATCGAACCAGATTCCGTCTCTGAGAATATGTGAGCTCCTCTCGCGAGCTCTTTATATTTAGAATATATATACAATGTAGTATACACGCTCAATCAAGAGCTAATCACCTCCTTTATTTTTCTTGCCATGCTCAACAACCTTTGGTCATCCCAGTACTGCGCAATCAGCTGCATGCCAACAGGCAAACGACTCTGCTCGGGCCATACCGGCACACTGACAGCAGGCAAGCCGGCCAAGCTGGCAGGTACAGTAAAAACATCATTTGTATATGCATCAACGCTGCTCTTTGTCTCTAGATCCTTGAGCTTGGGTGGGAATGACGGGGCGGTAGGACAGAGAAGAAAGTCGACTTGCACAGGTCCTCGTTTGTCTGCAAGCTCCAGGTCGGCCGACATGTCACTGAGATCAAACTGGCGTGGCTCATAGAGAGGATTCTCGAAGCTGAAAATCTTGTCGAAATCTTGCTGCACACGCCGGCGAACCTTTTGCGCTTGTATAAAGTAGTTGTCAATTGCTTCCGAGCTCAAGCTGTATGTGCCGAGAAGAATGCGACGTTTTACTTCCTCTCCGAATCCTGATCCACGAGCTTCAGAGTAGAGTGTGTCGCCTGCGGCGTCTCCATTCTCACCGCGCACTCCATACCGCACGCCGTCGTATTTGGCCAAGTTTGACGATGCTTCGGCCGGAGCGAGGACGTAGTAGGCACAGAGAGCTTCCTTGGTAGATGGAAGTGACACAGGCACTATCCGAGCACCTTGGGCTTCTAAGTTTGTAGCCGTGGCTGCCCAAGTTTCGCGAACCGTAGGGTCGAGTTCTTCTATGTTATATTCCGCCGGGATGCCAATTGTGACATGGTGCATCGGGGGCAGCTGAAAGGGCAATGCCTTGGCGCATCGTTGCCTCGTCATTGAACTCAATGATGTAGGATCATTCGGATCGTGCTCCATATGAAGCCCCGTGTTGAAGACAACATCCTGTATCGCGGTTACGTCGTTGGCCAGGATGCCGACAGTGTCAAGTGAATTGGCATATGGAACCACCCCGAATCTCGACAGCAGACCGTAGCTGGGCTTGTATCCTACCACCCCTGTATAAGCGGCTGGTAGCCTAACCGAACCGCCTGTATCTGTGCCCAACGCAATGTCCGCGTCGCCGAGCTGCACTGCGACGGCGCTCCCACCAGAACTACCTCCAGCGGATAGCTGTTCACCTTTCGAAAGCGGATTGAAGACTGCTCCGTGCGCAGAGTTCGTCGAATGCGATCCCATACCGAATTCGTCCATGTTTGTTTTTCCGACGACACTTGCGCCTCGAGCGCGGAGCTGCTTCACAATGGTCGCCTCGAAGGGTGAAGCATGCGTACCAAGTATGCCAGAGGCGCATTGCGTTGGGAGACCAGTCGTCGCGATGTTGTCTTTGACAGCTAGTCGGAGTTTCGTATTGATCTGATTTGACGTCGTATCATCTATGTAATACTTGTCAGAAATGGCTTTCTAGCTTATGGGCTCTGCAGCGTACTAAGGGAAACAAAGTGATTGCAGGCACTCGACTGCACAGCTCGTGACGACTCAATGGAGCGTCGCAGGTTCGGTGGCTTGGCTAATAATGTTCCCTTTCCACTCACGGGCCATTTTGCCAAGCGGCGCAGCGTTGCGACCGTCATAATTGTTCTGTCACCGTCATAATTGTCCTGCCACCGTTGGCTTCGAAAGAGTCCAGTCTGGTGCGACGCCCTTTGCAGCAGTACCTATCTCTCAAGTTCCGCTGTGGTGCGGAACTCCACTGTCGTCACGTGCCACACAGCAATCGGAACTCTAAGCTTAGGCACATACCTAGTTAGGTAGGCAGGACCAACTATTTAAACCTTGCTGCAATCGCAACACGGGGAGACTTGGAACGGGCATCTCGACCGCTATAAATAGTAGGTACATGTTGGTCTTCTGCCACGAACGCCTCGTCCAATTACACTTTTTTGTGTACAAGCCACAACAGAGAATTCACATTTCATGAACCTTGTATTCCTCCAGTTCTCCCCGGACTCCGTTCTATATAAAGCACACACGGCGCCCAGCACTTACCAAGCGCCCACACAAAATGTAAAACACTACCCGCAATCGCATAATGGAGAGCACATTTGACAACAAGATCAAGCTCGTCTTCGCCGCCATCACCGTTCTCATGCAACCATGTGTCTGGCTTGAGTCCCTCTGCCTGTACCTTCTCGGCATCAACGACGCCACCACGTTTCGCGTGTTTCCCTCCCAAGATGCACACCCCGAATACCCCGCGATCCTCTCCAATGGTTTGGCCTTTATTCACATCCTCTTGATCCCGAACCTCGTGTGGATAGAGAACGACCCCGGAAGCGGCCCGCCGGTGGCCAAGCTGGTCTCGCCTTTGACTAGGCGGTGCAGTCGTCGTGTGCGATGGCTACTGATGCTGCCGCGGGTCTGGCTGTATTTGGCTCTGTTCAATTTCCATATGGTGTCTTTTCTTGAGGACCCGAACCGAATTGTTGGTATTGCTCTCAAGCTGGGGTTTTCTATGTGGCTTCTGTGAGGATCTTACTGTAAGGAAATGATATTCTCCGTCTCCGCTAATACCCTGCCAATGAAATTGAAGCTAGACTTGCTGCGACCAGGAGACTTAAACAGATACAGCCTCGGCGCTTTAATGAGTACCCTTTTGCCAGCACGACAAGTTCCGGCTAACTCTGTGTGCTTTTCGATCTCCGCATTGATACCAGTTCAAATATGTTGGTAACTGGTGGTAATATGAACAGACTTGTCTCTGGCTTGTGATCAGTCATGAAAGAATAATTGGCTCTAAACCGCTACTGGAGTAATCGATTTCAAACATATATGTCTATATCTCAACCCATGCAAGTATTTGACAAAAAATACCAGAAAACGCCCCGACAACTATGTACACGAGTATAGGCGACACACTGGAGCATACTCTTTCGAGCTGCGGCGAAGAAGGTTCATTTTGCCCACATGAGTGTCTACTCTAAGGTAATTCTTGCATCTCGCCACGGTGGCCAGCAGTGTTGGCCGTCGGCGCCTCATGAGCGTTGCCGGGCGGTACGTCCTTGCGATTCACATTTCCTGCGGCACCAGCAGATGGTGCAGCATATTGATGCTGCATAGGTGGTGGCGAGCCGGTCTGTTGGTAAGGCTGCTGTCCGTAGCCGGGCTGACCATATGGCTGCGGTGTATAGCTCGTGGCGGGGCTGACCGATGGCTGGTAAGAGTAGCGAAGGTCTGGGGATCCCTGCTGCTGAGGGCTCTGCTGTTGAGGGGGATAATATGCTCCAGTAGCGCTCGGAGAAGTCGAGTAGGCTGCGTTGGCAGCGTCTGGGTAAGCATACTGTTGGTGCGGCGGGGGGGCGCCACCAGTCTGAGGTTGGCTCATGAGAGGTGCTGGGGGACTTTGCTGGGCGTTGTCTTTCTTCTTGTTGCGGAGGAATAAGAGGATACCAACGCCAATTAGTGCGAGCGCTCCAACACCTCCGATTACACCACCAACAATGGCGCCAACTGGGGTGCTGCTCTTGTTATTGTTATCGTTGGTTGGTTGTGACGTGCTGGTGCTGCTCGTCGTCGTAGTGCTAGTATGGCTGGAAGTCGGCGATGGCGCTCCAGTGGCAGATCCTGACTTTGACGTGCCAGAGGCAGATGTCCCTGTGACGGTATACCCAGTGTAGGTTTGGGGGTTGACCTCCCCAGAGTAGCTGGTGGCCACATATTGATATGTGCTGATGTCTGAGATGCCACACGCATAATCAATGACACCCCCAGCAAATGAGACTGTATTGCAATATGCGTACCGCGTGTCGATACTGGGGACCTTTTTATTAGCTGACGGTCAACATGAAGGTAGCGCAATTACAGAAAGGACTAACCACTTTAAAATGTAGACATTATCTCGGCACTCCTGGTTGCAAGCTCTTGATGTCATATAATCGGCAGAGTTGACGCAAGTTGTTCGGAAATGGCACGAGCTGGCACCACAGCAAGCGAGGCGCCCGATATTGCCATTAGCAGAGGTGCTCAGAGCGCAATAGTCTCCCTTGTTGACACAGTAGTATGGCGCACTCGAGATACCAGACACATAACCGCACGTGTTTTGGGTATTGTAATAAAGGACAGGGGAGGAGCTTTCTGCTCGAGCAGCGACGTGTTCGGGTGATGGAGGCGTGGTCGGGGCTGGTGAGAAGCCATCGAGGGCGAAGATGGCTGGCACTGTGGGCTGGGCTTCCATTCGAGCGAGGTTCCGGGCCTCGACAGCGGCGAGAGCTGTCGCTGCGACCACAAGACTCTTCATTGTGTGACTCTCTCTAGGAGCGGTAGGTAGTACCAGTGAGAGGAAGCCCGTGTCGTCTGAGATCTTGCTGTGCAAGCCAGAAGGGGAACGAGGAGAAAGGTTGGGTGAAGGAAGAGAATTTCAAATCAGCCACCAACAACGACAAGTATGAGGAAAGGACGTGGTCAAGCGACTTGATTAATTAACAAAGAGCAGGCAGTCAGCTCCCGAGAGCGGCCCCGTATTGGGTCCGTCAGGGCTGAAGTCGTTCCGCCTGTAGCTGGAATTGGGCGGGCAGTTGATCGCAGCCCAAAACCACACAATAACAGAAGCTCACTACTCCGTACTTCCTGGGGGTGAATGGTCTAAGCCAGTTTCCTGATCCGCCTTGCCAACTTGCCAGCGGGTGGCCGCCCAGCCAAAATTGGAGTTTTCGCGGTGGCGTGCAGAGAGCTGAATGCGCTAGGCGACAGCCACGAGAATCATGGCTTGCTTCCATTTCTGTGGTTTATTCAAGGTTGAAGGGAGGATATCTTTCGAGAAGTTCATTCGAGGTTGCATTGCATACTGTCAGGGCGACAACCGCATTGCATCTGTCCCCGTGAGAAAGCTCCAGGCTTCGCATAGCTCTGCTTCCCTCCGCCCGTCGACAATGTCATGAAACGTGACCAAGCAGCCTCAACCAACGACCTTTTTGTCCCAGAAGTGGCTCTATGGCGGTGACGGCCGCTTGATTGGTACTGGTCAGTGGGTGGGAACAAAGAAATCAGCCTGGTGACTGACGAGCTAATAATAATACTCAAATTGACAGGCCCACGACCTTGTCGATCCTGTCTTCAGCCACAAAACAGAAAGGTCGCCGGCCACCCGCAGGCGAGCGAGTTGCATCAAACACTGATTCGTTGCATTATGAGAGAGCCTTGATTACTCCGTAGGTTAGCTTGTAGATGGCTTCGGTGCTGCTTGGGGCGAGCACTTGGCAGAACAAGATGCAGGCAACAACGACGACGATGTTGATTATATATGATAAGGCAACGCCACCAGCTGGAGCGACGCACCTGATTCCAGCCTCCTATTTTGCACTCCAACCCCTGCTTTTCCGCGCAGGGTTGAAGCTGGGGTCCAACGGCAGGCAGGCGAGCCTCGATGACTGAAATCGGTGATGAGCGTTTCTGGGCATCAAAGATCCGATGAGATGATCAAGAGCACGAACATTGATGTTGATTGAGCTTTCATCCTCTCTCGTCTTCTCCGAAGAGACAAGCGAAGAGTAAAGTTATTGCTACGGGGCACAGGTACAATTTGCCAGAAGTACAGGTGCACGTGATGCTCTACTAACGCGGTACCTACACTTTTGCGTGACCGCCCACTACAATATATGTAGCTTTTTCGAATCTCCTCATTCAGCTAATTCCGTCTACGCCTCTGGTGTTGTTTTTCCTATTTCCTGCTTGATCCCTCCGACACTGGCAATCACAGGCGAACTGGCTGGTTGACGGCTTCTGTGGCTTCTATGACCTCGAATGAGCCCTTTTTTGCGACCTGATTACGTTCCCTGTCTTCAAAAATAGCGAAAAGGCGTTTTCTGAGCGAATTATCAGCGAGCGTCGAGGCCTCGAGAGGCTCGGCGGCGACGCTCGCGGCGGCGGCGGCGGCAGCTAGAAAATAGCGAATACAGCGACTTTTGTGAGATGCCTTAATTCAGCTATATTATCCCTTTAGGAGGGTACTTTTTTAATATTATTCCATATGATATTATGTTCAAAATCATTAACAATGATATCAATATTTAACATCGTCGTCAAGAACAATCTTCAAACTCCCAAGTCTAGACGAAATGGCTTTGATCCGGTCGAAAGTGAGCATCTTCATCCCAACAAGTTGAGAATAACTTGCTTGGCGTCATTCTTCTGTCTGGTGCGTCACATACATTAGTCAATCGTCGGCATGCGCTTCAGCGCTGAGGATCTACGAAACTTTTGCAGCAGCGGCATGCGGGCCTCTAACCCAGTCAAAGTTTGGCCGTGAACGAAAACCTCTCTATTGGCTTTCGTCGAAACAAGATTCTGGCTGATTACGCATTTGGAACCCAGCCTGGCCCTCAGAAACACTATAAAATAAGCTCTCATCGCTAGGACACAATCAATAGCCAGAAGCTTCTCATCGCTCAGTGCTGCTCCTGACTATTGCTCTCGCCGGTGACCTCTCCGGGCCTCCCCGCACTAAAGATACGTAAATGCACGATCAGGGATCTCAATACCACCTCCAAAGATCGAAGGCTGGCTGAACTCCGCATGCATGATACTTGCAGGATTGCTGCCGGCAGTAATACGATGAATTGGCCTGCGTTGCGGTCAGTTCCAGGATGAGGCCTCTTTCCTGTGTCATCTTCCGAGACTTGCACCGAACTTGCCACGCCATTCCTCATTCTGATCTAACATTAATCACAAAAGTAAACACCTCCAAACACTGTGAACCAGGATGAATTGAATCGCCCGAGGGGTCACACCGCGAATTTGGTCGCCATGGGCCCAAAGCGACGCTCTACGCCTCAGCGAGTCGTTATGGCTGCGAGCCCGCAGGCGGCGAGGAGTCGTCTGCAGTGGCGGACTTACTCGTAGAGACTACCCCAGAATTGCCGCTGAGGCTGAATCATATTGACACGCAATGTATCAACCAGGTCTCGGATACGCCATCGATGTCTTGATCAGGACACCAGCTGACGCCGTTGTCTTTCCAACATTCGGGGCCGTTCTATGTGAATCTCTCGACTATTTAATGGTTGTTTTCATCCCATTGCAATGCTCTTCTTTTCAGCATCGACAGCACAGTTTCTCCTACACACTTCAAATTGCAAACGTAGTCTAGCCCTCACACCATGGCTCTTGCTCTTCCTATCCACGACCTCCGCATGGATGAGCCCGCTGCATCCGAGGTCTTTGAGCATGATAACCAGACCTTTTACCGCTGGCTCCTCTCCGATACTGAGCGCGCTCACATTGCTGGCATGCTCAACATTGAACGTATGCAATTATGATTCTTCACCCCCTTCACGGAAACAAAGAGTGAAAGACTCATGTAGCTGACATGACTTTTGCGGCAGCGACCGATCTCAAGGTCAAGGGCAGCACCTTTCTCGAGGATCGCTCCCAATGCCGCGAGTGCGGCAAGCACTCGGGTCTTGACGACTTTGTGCACAATGCCCTCTTTGCCGGCATACACTCGTCCGAGTTCATGAAGGACTTCCTCCTGGGCAAGGCCCAGCAGACTGTCCCCTACACGGAGCACGAGCTCACGTGCTCTCGATGCTGCACCAAGCATGAGACGGCCAAGCGTTGGCTGGCTATCCCGCCGTGGATCACCAATTAATTGTCGAGGCAAGCATCTACGCTTCTGGTAATAAAGGTGGGATTGTTTTGTCAGATAGTTCTATTTCGCCGATAGTATAGCAGTGCACTTGTCTAGCAAGGCACTTCATGGCCAGTCTAGCTTCTGAACAAGGCTGTTCCATCTCTCATTGTATTTTGTTGATCATCTCCAATACTGACTGTATGCTCCAATTCCTCCGGTGTCTCGTGTGGCGGCCTGGTTTCTTACATTTTTGACGGCGCATTTCTGGTTGAGATGGTGTACATGTAAAACTCTTGTAATCAGAAAGTATTGTACTACCCTGACATCCGCACGTCGCTATAACAAACAGCTATATAAGCCGTAGTTGGGATCCTGGTTCATGCACGTATTGATATTAATGCCTAATCTTTTGCCACTCGGCATGACGGTACAGGAATCGTTATATTACTATTGTAACGGTACAGCTATATAAGCCTTAGTTGGATTCCTGGTTAATGCTCGCACTGAGATTAATGCCTAGTCTTTTGCCAGTTGGCGTGACGGCACAGGAACCGTTACAACTATAGTCGTGTGTACAGGGTAGCCCAATACCTAGCCAAGTTATCCAGAGCCAATAAGCCTCATGATTGTTCTTTTATCTTGGAATTGTGATTCAAGGCTTCCAATTGTAGTTTCAATTGTGATTCTTCGTGCTTGCTAAAAATTATGTGTTCGGGTGGATAGGTATGCTCATTGGCAGACAGGCTACCTTACATATGCACGCTGACGATAAGTCCAGCGCGGGGGCACCATACCAAGCTTCTCCAACACATGCCGAAGGATTTCTAGGTAGCTTTGTAACTTTTACATCACACCAAGGAATACATCTCCAATCAGTGGTCTGCTACACAACCACGGCGCAAAAAGGCGAATACACGAACAACGACGCGTATAATGACATTCTGAGACTCTGTCCAGATTCCAACTCGCTGCTGCCGCCACTTTACGCGCCCCGACGCGAGTTCGTCACGTCCTGCTCCATGACGTCGCCGGCACACGACCAGCAAAGCCAGCAGCTTCAGCGCCACAAATGACGGACCTCCTCAAGATACTGCCGTCGTTTCCTACAGGACCCTTTGCCGCGCTACTACCCGTGGTCGAACAGCATTCGCTCTCCACGACGGACCTCCTCACGCGGCACCCAGTCGACCTCGCCAAGCAGACGCGCATTCCGCTCCTCGACCTGAAGCGCTTCATCGCCGTCGTGCAAGCCTCCCTCGCCGATGACCTGACGCCCGAGAAGCCCCTAGCGGGCCCGAAACCGACAAAAAGAGACGCCGAAGAAGACACGGGAGGGGCCGAAGAGGCGCGGAATGGCGCCACGACGAGCAGCGCGTCACCAGAAACACGGCTAGATGCGCCGGTGCGCGCTGGCCCCGCGCAGACGCCGTGCATCAGCACGCTCGACGACACGCTCGATGAGGCGCTGGGCGGCGGCGTTCCCGTAGGCTACATCACCGAGTTCGCGGGCGAGTCGGGCGCCGGCAAGACGCAGTTCCTGCTGTCGCTGTGCCTGGCCGTGCAGCTGCCGGCGCCGCGCGGCCTAGGCCGGCAGGCGCTATACGTCTCGACCGAGGCGGCACTCGCGACGCGGCGTCTCTCGCAGATACTCGCCGGCAGCGACGCGCTGCGGAACCTCGACGCGGCGGTCGACCGCCCTTCGCTCGACAACATCCTCAGCACCGTGACGCCGGACCTCGAGTCGCAGGACCACATCCTCGAGTACCAGGTGCCCGTGCTGCTGGCGCGCCACGACATTGGCCTGCTCGTCATTGACTCGGTCGCCGCCAACTACCGCGCCGAGTTTGAGAGTCGCGGCAGCTCCCTCGGGTCCAGCATGGCCGCCCGCAGCGCGCAGCTCGTGCGCCTCGGGGCGCATCTGCGCGACCTCGCGCGCCGGCACGGCATCGCTGTCGTCGTCGCTAACCAGGTCGCCGATCGCTTCGCATCCAACGCCCCTCTGTCGTCGTCGCTCGCGCACCGGACTGCTACAGTACCGCCCGCGCCGGAAAGTCCACTGGCGTCGCGCAGCAGACAGCAGCAGCAGCAGCAGCAGCAGCAGCAGCAGCCGCCACCATCGACGCTGCAAGCTACGCCGACGTCGTCGATGCCGATGCCCACTCCAAATGACCGGCCGCCGCCGCCGACGCTGTTTCTCGACCACCAGCAGCGCTGGTTCACCGGATGGGGCGACGAGCCGCGGTCGTCGTATGCGCTCAAGACGCCGAGCCTGGGCCTCGTGTGGTCGACGCAGATTGCGTGCCGCGTGGCGCTCTTCAAGCGACCCGTGTACGGTCGGCCGAGGAGGTTTGCCGCGCCGCTCGATGCCAACGACGACGACGACGGTGGTGGAGAGGACCGGGAGCCCACGCTCAAGTCGTGGCGGCGCTGGATGAAAGTCGTGTTTGCGCCGCATGTCGCCGCGTCGGGTCAGGGCATTGCTGATGCGGCCGAGTTTGAAGTCACTGCGGGTGGGCTAAAGGGTGTACGCAGAGACCATGGCAAGACCAAGGGTTGAGCAATGGCCAAAGAAAAGACGTGTCGCCTTTTGAGGACTTTCTGTTGTCCGGTTCACGATTACGGAGTTTTGGAATAGATGGCATAGATCAAGGCGCATTTTTTGGCATACACATCGACAGTAGACCAAAAATCAGTTAAAGGTTGTTTATTTGTCGATTATCAACATGTTTCATTCGTCCCCTTCGTCTATTTGAAAACCCAAAACCATTTCCAGTATGCAGTCATCAAAACATGGTAGAAAATCCAGTGCCAACAATGTACACCGACTAATGAGGATAGAATATATATACAAAGTAATGAAGCCCAAGCAATTCTATTTTCGCTTACTTGGGATGCGGAAACTCGTCAGCCAGCTGCAGCCGTACGCCGACGTTCATGCTAATCAGCTCCTGCACCAGGAGCTTGGCCGCGTAGGGCATCGTCATCTTGGTCACCTCGCGCGTGCTCTTGCACGTCTGGCAGTAGCCCTTGTAGCCAAAGAGGCCGCACTGCTGGCAGATATCAATAACAACACCGTCGGAGCTAATCATCAGGCGCTCGAGAAGCAGCTGCGAGGCGCCGTAGGCAATCAGACAATCACGTTCCATCTCACCGAGACGCAGACCACCATCGCGCGAACGACCCTCGGTGGGCTGGCGGGTGAGGATGGCACGGGGACCGCGGGCGCGCGAGTGCATCTTGTCTTGCACCATGTGCTTGAGACGCTGGTAGTAGATGGGGCCGTTAAAGATGTAGGCCTCGAGCGGCTCGCCGGTCAGGCCAGATGTGAAGTAGTCCTTGCCCTCCCAGGAGAAGCCGTGGTCGAGTAGGACTTGGCTCATCTCCTCGAGCGGGTGTGAGCGGAACGCGTCGCCAAAGCCATAGTCGGGACGCCCGTGGATGATGGAGGCTTTGCCCGTTAGGCATTCGAGGAGCTTGCCGACAGTCATTCGAGAGGGGAAACCGTGTGGGTTCATGATAATATCGGGAGTGAGACCATTATCGGCAAAGGGCATGTCTTCGTGCTCGACAATGATGCCTACAACGCCCTTTTGTCCGTGACGAGATGAGAACTTGTCGCCGAGTTCGGGTCGTCGAGTCTGTCTCGTTTGAACCTTGACAACGGTGGTGTCTTTTTCAGTGTGTGAAATCATGACCTTGTCAATGTAAGCGGGATCAGGAATACGGTAGTTGACAGCAGAGTCACGGAAGTCGCTAGAGCCGCGATCCAGGCCAATGCCCGTTGTGGTAAGATCCAGAGGCGTTTCCTTCTTGATCATGGATTGGCCAGAGAAGACTCTGCCGCCAACCATGGCGAGGCCATCATCGTCTAGGGCCTTGTGCTTCTCGGTGCGCTTACGTTGGTCGCCGTCGCCTTCATTGACCGGATCGCCAATGCGCTCTCTGCGACCATTGGGGTACTTTTGCAATTCGGTGGTGTATTTGCGAAAGACTTGGCAGCGGCCGAATCCTCGATCGATCGAGCCCTTGTTCAAAACGAGGGCATCTTCAATATCATAACCAGAGTATGACATGACAACGACGGTCGCATTTTGGCCAGCCGGCAGCTTGTCATAGTTGACCAGTTGGATAGTCTTACTGATAACCATTGGTCTTTGAGGGTAAACCAGAGTGTATAGAAGTGTGTCGATGCGGTTAAACTGATTGTATGCAATGGCGCCAATGGCTTGTTTACCCATTGCACACTGATAAGTGTTACGCGGCGACTGATTGTGGTGAGGAAAAGGGATCAGACCGGCGACAGCGCCGAGAATTGTAAAAGGTTCGATTTCCAAATGTGTTGTGCCCATGGTGATCTTATCCTCGTAGATGGTCACCAAAGCATCCTGTTCCTCGTTGACATCGAGATACTCAACGACGCCATTTCGCAAAAAGTCGTCAAAAGTGACCTTGCCGAGTTGAAGTAGGCGAAGATGCTCCGGCTTCAGCTTTTGAAAACCATTCTTGACAATGATGTATGGCCTACAAATTCGTCCTTCATCGGTAGCAATGTGGACGGCGTTGAAATGTAGGTTGATGCTAATGCTGACAAATGGCGATATCCATCCACGTCGACGCATGGTTCGAAATCTCGAACAGAATCTTTTGGGATATCTGGTAAGAGCAAACGGGGTACCGTTGATATGAATGATGTACGACCCTTCCCGGTGCATCTCTGCGCCGGAGAAGTTTCGAATGGGCTCAACACCGACATCAAGGGTAAATACCCATCGCTTGACGGGTTCCTCGTCGACGTTTGTAGTAATATGGGTCATAAGAGCCAAGTTTTTGACGAGACCGCAGGCTTCACCTTCGGGGGTATCCGAGGGACACAGCATACCCCATTGAGATGGCTGCAAGGCACGAGGGCCCGAGACCTTTCGAGTCTTTTCGAACTGACTGCTGATACGAGTCATCATACCAAGAGCAGCAATGTAACTCAGACGACTGAGGACGTGGGTCACACCAGCACGGTTCATGTTGAAACGCTTGACGCTCCAATTACCCGTCTGAATAGCTCTGTTGATTCCCATGCCAATGTTGTTCGCGTGATTGCTAATCATGTTGACAGCATCTAGAGGGACAGCCCTGTTATTCTTCTTGAGAAACTTGTCGATGGACATCTTTACCTCGACCATGAATCGCTTGAATAAATCTTCGAAGAGCAGTGACAGAAGCTGGCCAGCAAGTTCCAGTCGCTTATTTCCGACAAAATCTCTGTCGTCAACGAGCTTGCTATCCTGGGCGGCCATGAGCACCTTGCGCGTCATCATAGCAACATAGATAGCTTTAGGATAAAAGTCAAGGCCCTCGATCGGGACGTGCGCAATGATCAGATTGGCTAGAGCGTCAAGGCCTTCTTCGACATTGTTTCGGCGAACCTGAGGGCCGAATTGGCCTCTACGCGAACCCATCTTTACTCTGGTACCGATATACTCGAGGGCCTGATGCTGAGTGAAGACACCGGCCTTTGTTGCTTCGTCGAAGTTGATGAGGAACTCGTCTTGGTAGCGACCATCGGCACCAGCAACGAGCTGCATGATTTCATAGTCGGAAAGTCCACCCAGAGCTTTGAGCACAATGACAATCGGGATGCCCTCGACCAAAACGTTGTGCACTAGAACGATCCTGTCCTTTTTCAAAGTGACATTTGTCTTGGATTTTCTTTCGTGTGTAGAACTGGTCACGGAGGCAGAAATAATGCGGTTCTTTTCGTCCGCCTCGACGATAACTCGATTCTTGCTGAGCTGCTCCTGAATAAGGATAACCTTTTCGGTGCCGTTGATGATAAAGTAACCACCGGGGTCGAGCGGGCACTCGTTCATTTTTTCCATTTCGGCATTATTGGCGCCAGACAAGCGGCACTTGGAGCTGCGAAGCATGACGGGCATTCGGCCGAGCGAAACATTTCGTCGGATGATCTTTTGTTTGTCACGAATGTATACGATATCGACGAGTATAGGGGCGGCGTATGACATGTCTCGCAGCCGACATTCCATAGGCGTCACGTCGGTGGAGGACTTGGCCTCTTTGTAGTCTTGCCGCTGGGGATGGTCGACGCGAATATCGGTAAATCTGCGCGGGTGCTGGTCAGCGGCGATGCGCCGAGATGATCGGCTTCAATGGCAGAAAGCTTACTCGAGCCAGAAGTTGCTGTCAACATCGCTGCGTATCGTGCGGTTCGCGCGCACGATATCCTTGATCTCATGCTCGACGAAAAAGTTGTAGGAATCGATGTGCCTTGAGAGAGTGAGTCAACATGCTATTCGGGTTGTGCAAAAGTTCCTGGCCAGACGTACTGTTTTACAAGACCTATTGATGTCGTTAGAAAACGCCGAGCTGAAGCTTGGATTACAATAGAAAATACCATACCTTTGACTTTGAGAAACGCGGGTAAGAGCTGAAATTTATCTTCTTTGGTTGAGATGGGGTCGGTTAGCTTCTTGCCATTGTAGAATGGCTCGAGTAGGGCCTCGAAGCCGTCGTCGATCGCCGCCATATTATCTGTCACCGCATCCAAGGCATTTACAAAGAGAAACAGCAGCTTTGAAACGGGATCGTGCGGTAATCGAGGGCTTCGTTGTGGCCGAAATGCTGAGTCGCGATGCTTTACAAGAAAAAAAATGTTGCTGCTGTTCGATAAGGCGCGAAAGTGGGGCCGATAGAAAGCTGGGTGGTGGGGGACGATGCGGAACGACAGAACTTACAGATTAAGGTGTAAAGTAGTGTGCTTTATTTTGTTTGTTTAGATTTAAGCTCTTGATGAGATCTTGCTTAGATATAATTTAGTTGCCTTTGTTCGTCTCTCGTTCTGTGTTGCTGCTCCCTGGGACTGGGTTATGCAGGTCAAGTCGCAACAGCCACCCACTTTCGCGATTTATAATATTATTATTACAACTTGTCTTGCTTTCCAGCTCCATCGGATATAATCGCATTCCCCGGATTTGCCTACAAACAGCGTGCCAGACCCAAGAAAAGATCGTTTCAGAAGCGTCCGTCGGCTGTATGTGAGCTTGTTTGCAGAGTGTGTGATACAGCAAGCAACAGCACATCCCCGATCCAGCAGCTCTTTACGAAGATGGCGAAATGCAATTGTCTTCTTGGCTTAACTTTCAGAAAAAAAAAGCCAAGTTGGCTTCGTATTGGGCCAAGTTGTCTCGGATGTAACGGTAGCTGACCGATCAAATATGCGCTCCTACGGAGCACAGTGCTCAGTTTTAGCTCAGTCAATAGTGGTATCCGAGGCCTTCACAGTGCGCGGCTGATGTAGAGAAACATCGCCAATGTATTCGCCGTCATTGAGCTCAACTGAAGAGCGAGGTGAGACCCCGGAATCATATGATGTGTTACCTAAGAGGCTGTCACGTACAAGGTGAAAAGACGGTCGCTTTGTTGTGTTACATCTAGCCCTAACATATTTGTTCCGGTATTTTCTTTGGGGATTTGCAAGAGAGTGGCTGGCTGGACGTATGCAATGCACATGTAGTTCCACACGGGAGCACTCAGTCCGGGACACACACTCACGCACACATTTAATAGAGAGCTTGTTTTCCAAGCAGGGTGATTAGGGTTATTTCACAGCATCCGAAAGTGGATGGGAAGACCGGGGTTGCAGGTTCAAGAGACGACGCTTCTTATTGAAACCACCCGAGTGTGAGGCAAGGTGGCAACGCCATCAGTGACTATGCGCAACAGCCCGTTTATGCACGAGAGGAGACAAGCAGGTTCAGAACAAGGAGCTATGACATAACTAGTTGTGAACCTGCCTCTTCCACTGTCGACTAATTACCCCTCACTTGAGGATGAAAGGCTTGATTGGCAATTACCCCTCCATCTTGAAGTGGCTAGAGGAGGGGTTGAGGGGCCAGGGGTCTTGGACGGCTGTGGATCGGGACAAGACGGACGACCCTCTGGTCAGTGGTTGGTAATAGCGAGAGAGCTGCAAGTAAATGGGTTTAGTTATGCCTGCGCCGCCGGGATCCTCTGTTTGTGATATTACGTTGCATGAGCGAGCATGTTGGCGTGGCATGTGGATGCGTGGTGGGCCAAAGAACGAGGGGGGTTTGAGCGACAGACAACAGAAGTTATTAGACTTGCTTGATAAAGAGTTAGCTAATAAAAGAAGAAAAAGCCTGTAATTAGCACACTACTACGCACGGTACCGATGATCTGATATTCGGGATACAGATAGTCTGTGCGTCGTGGGCTAGGCTGGCTGGTGACAGAGGGCTGAGGACATTGGGCAGATCGGCAAGTAGCAGACGTGCGAGACAATATGTTCTCCAAGTCCGTGTGTGAGTCGATTGAGGTCCCAAGGTTTGCTGGCAGCGAATGTTGAGAAGAAAAGACGGAGAATTGTTCGCCGTATTGCCTACTCCACATGGTTAGAGGACCAACCAGCGCCAAAACGCGCCAGCCGTGAAAGGCAAGTTTTTCCTGCCACCAAAAAAAGGCCAGAGAACACGGAGACTGGAACTGACACTTCTGACACTTGGCTCCAGAGGCGCGCAGTTCGCTCCACTCTCCAACCGCCTTCAAAAAGTCGGTGAGGCTGCCGTTGAGGAACCTGAGAACATTGCAGATGGACAACAGTGGCGAGACTTGAGAGGGGGAAGCAGAGATGAAAACCTTGGGTAGTGACGAGGGCCATATTGTTTTCGAAATAGAGAGACAGTTAGGGCTGGGGGAGTAAACTGATGCAGCACCCAGCAGCCGACACGGACGGGCCACTAACTTATGGCTGCCTGGCTGCACATGTAGGTTCTGTACATGTACATGCACACGTAGCCCTGCAGTTACATACATCTAGATTCAAAAGAGAAAGAGGGCGTCTGGCCGGACAGGGCACCCCTGGGGCAAATCGCAGCTTCCTATCTAGCAGCAATCGTGACAGCTTGACAGCTTGACAGTGAGTCAGGGACTGAGCAATGCTTGGCCCGAGAGTGAGATTTGGACGGGGGAGGGGCTCCTGTCAGTGTGGTCAGTTGACATCTCTTCGCACGTGTGCAGAGATATTCGAATCTAACACAAGGGGTGGCAAGTATTTGATATGCTGTTTGGGTCCAAGACATCCATCCCAACTGCTGGGGCGTGGTGCGCTATCGCGATCAGCCCAACGAAGCTGGTAGCAAAAGCAACGTCCATGCGACAAACACATTATTGTTTCTCAATCCAGCGCATTCTACGTATTAGCATATACTGACTAATGATGCAAACCAAACATTAGTTGCATGTCGCTGCGCCGGTCAGCCGAGAGCACCGGCGAACAAGTGTGTTTTATCCTGTCTCGAATATTTTCGCTTGCCCTTCACCGATGTATCGCCCTAGGATGAATTTAGTTTGCTAGGCAAACCAGGCCCCGGGGGGAAAAAAAACATCGCCGATCCACACCATCAACTACTACACATTTATTACTACTATAATAGCCTAAAGATAAAGGATAATAATTATAAAAGAAATTCTATAATATAATATAACTACTAAATAATCTATCTACCTAGTTTTTTTTATATATACTTATAATCTAATAAATATAAAATTAATATAAAATTAATAATTAATTTTAAATTTTTTTATTTATTATTTAAATTAATTTATAAAATTTAATAATATTTTATTAGAAATCTTTATAAGTTTATATTATACTATTATCTTAATAGTCTTTATAATATATAAAATAAGTTTTTATAAATTATTTAAAAAATATTATAAATTCTTTTATTTTATTTTATTTTTATATATCTTTTTTATTATTATAATTATTTTTAAATATATTAATAATTAATTTTAAAGTTTTAATTACTTTTGTTAAGCTTATTTTAAATACTTAATTTAGTAATATTATTTTTTTTAATTTATTTTATTATTAATAGTTAGTTTATAACTATTAGTAGTGATAGAGGTTGTGGTGTATCGGCGGTGTATTTTTTCCACCCCTTGCCAGGTTGCCAGGATCTGTACGGATTATGCATGCCCTGATTCTGACACCAGAGACGAAAAAAACAGGGATCTGTTAGCCTCTTTGCTTCGGCGGCATATCGGACTAGATGGAAATACTGGAGCATGGGGAGGAGGTTGGGTTATTGAAGAATTATTTTTTTTTCACCCGTTTCAGCTTTGGTGATGAAGTTCGAACAGAACCTATTTAGATAACTAGTTACTGAGAGAATTTAAAAAATACTTGCAGGGTTAAAACGCGCACTTATTGAGTCAGAGCCAAGCTTGATGGACATTAATAGACACTTGCATACGGGCAAAGAGCCCAACGTAGCTTAATTTAAGACTTAACGGTCCAATGCTCCGTGGAACTTGGGCCAAGGCATCCAGCCGCCCGCTAGAGAAGACCAAACAGTGCGTACTACAAATCCGTTGATATCATCAACACCCTGAGACGAATCAATCAATTATAGACGCCATTAAATTCGAGTACTACGACGAAAACGACATGCATGTGAAGAAAGCTATGGCAAGTCCGATTGTACTCATGAGCAAACGTGATTGTGCGCGCGCGGGTGTACAACTCTTCTCCAGACTTGTGTAATATCTCATTCTGGCTGCCTTCTGGCTGCCCCGACCTCCGTAAAAAGTGGTTGTGATGGAGCCCTGCGCTGGAGCCTTTGGACCTTCTGGAGAGTTTTCCATTCGAGGATGAGAAGAGCCAGGACGTCATTGTGCAGTTCTTTTACTGTGGTGCGGAAGAATACTGAAGATGAGTTGGCAAAACTGGACTCTCCATACTCTGTAGTTATCCGCACACTTACTTGGCAGAGTGGCAAGCTCCTTTCAATTGTAGGGGTCTTGAGCCACAGTGTTTCGAGTACGTCGTGCAGCCGGCTTGCTGCATAACTACAGCTTGACATCTCGTTACTGAGGCTTCAATATCCAGTATCTTGAGGCCAGAAAGGTTACTCACGTACGCGCAACTAATTACAGGCTACTCAGTCAGAACGCGCCACGTCTCTAGTCACGGCCTTCTGATCAGCCACAGCAGCAGACCTTTGCCTCGAAACAACTTGGCGCCGCGCGCTCCTGGTCCCGGCGCAGGTTCGGCGCCCCCAAATCCACACTGGAGCCCAGCTAAACTGCAATCATGCAAGTGCCACCAGACCAACACCGGGTCACCCCTGGCCCGCCCCTACAAGTAGAAAAGAACAAGTTGAGGAAGGCCCCAGTTTGTTAGCTCAAGCTCGGGTAACTGTGCCAAAAATGGGCTGTGCCGGGCCCTCCCACTGCAAATACCATCTCTGGTTCAATGGACCAATGGCTTCAGTGCCGCAGGCTAGCAAGAGGCTGGCAGGCAGCAAGAAAGAAAGAAAGAAAGAAAGAAAGAGATGCCAGCCTGCTCCAGTAAATAGGCCCCCTCCACCTGGGCGCCACCGACCACGTTTTGCTGCTAAGTAATTGTAGGCGCCGTGCTTTGATATGAGTGAGTTGGCGATACGCAGTTGACAAGAAGAGTCTTTTCGACGGCATGGGAGTCACTGTAATATCGAGGCAATGCAAAGTGAAAAGCCTCGATTTCAAGGATAAAGACTCACAGCTCCAGACGAGCCATCGCAGCCCTCCGAGGCTGGCAGCCTGGCCAAGTGCCACGAAGCTTGCCTTGTACGGAGCCAGTGGCCACCGTCTTTAGCTGAACAAGTACCATAACTCAGGGCCTCTGCTCGTAGGTACTTGACGAATACAGAGGAATTAGAGAGGCTTGCAGATGGCACGCACGACAGACGCCCCGCCTCCACACGATTGGTCCATCAGGCAACCCTTGGATTTCCAGCGTTTATTTGCCGTATTTTTTCGTCTCGATCTTTCTCTCGCCTTGAGTTTGCAATTTCGTCTCTTGTTTCTTAACTCTGCAGTATATTGAGTTGGAGGTTGATATATCGGTATCGCCATCGCAAATCCAAGACACAGCGCCGCTGTATCCTTCAGTGAGCGCCAACAGCAAAAAGGGGCTCGGGGCAGGTAAGTCGCCGTCTGCATCCTTTGTCTTTCTTGACCGAGTTTTATAATTGCACAATATTCGACATATCCCTTGATCTTGTTCCCGATCTTTTACACGGCTTCCCAAATTTTCATTTTTTTTTTTTCAACCTTGCCTTGTCTTTTCGCTTGAGCTTTTTTGTGCGGCGGTCTGCAGGTGGTCCTGAACATGGGGCAACGGCGACAGCGACACTGGGCGGCACGGGGTATCTGCCAGGATGTCTGCCACACTACCTACCTACCTGGGCACGTCCTAAGAGACTTTCAGGCTGGCACACCACCATTGCTGCTATTCAGCATCAAAGCCAAACTGCCCAGAGCGCAGAGCACGGAAAGGCCCAGGCCCTCACGGAACTCGCTTGAACCTCTCGCGAACCCTCTTACAGACACACGTTCGCGCACACTTCAACCTCACGTCCTGAAGGAAAGTTCCCAGCAGCCAGACGGACGAGGCCTGCTCTGCCTCAAGTGGCCTTCTTACAGAGTATCAGTTGGTACCAAGCAGGTACCTAGCTTTGCCGCCGCCAGCTAGCCTGAACCCCAACCGACCCTGCGCATCTTTGCCTGGTTCGCTCGCCCACCACCATCACCACCATCTCAAGCCTACGCAAGCCCGCGCTGTCCCTCTAGACTAGACTTGGCTGTCCAGAGGTACTTGACTGGGCTATTAGCACCCCCATAGCCCGCGCCGGTGCCGCCCATCCACCCTTCCATCCATCCATCCCATCCACCCCGCCTCAACGTCGCCTCGTCGTTCCTGATCTCCCTCTTGCCCTTTCCCTCCTTCACCGCGCACGCTGACATCCTCTCCTCGCCCTATCGTCCATGACGGCAGCCTTTTGAGAAGTCCAACCCCGCGGTGTCAATCCGGCGTGTACGAGTCTTTTGCCCACCATGGACGACTCGCGTTATCGCTCTCAGCAGCAGCACCAGTCGTCGAGGAACGACCTGCCAATTTCCTCTCTAGTTTCACCACCGCGAAACGGCACCTCCAGAATAGTCATGCAGCAGCCGTCTCCTCATGACCATCGCGCAAACCTCCCCCGCCGCTTTACCACCGACTCTGGCCGTGTCCCGACTCTCTCCGGCATGACTTCGCCCACCAAATTCCCTGAGCTGTCGCACGACTATTCCTCAAATGTCAGTAATTTAACGAGTCTCTTTCGAGTTTCTGTTCGTCACAGGCTTTCCAGCGCTTGTTCTGGATGTCGCCAGAGACCGTCTTCTTTTGCAAAAGGGATACTGACGTTGATGACAGCAAACGCTGCACAAGGTTCAATTAGTATGTGGTATTTTTCGACACCATGTCTCTCGATGCTAGTCACCCAAAAGCCTCTGGCGCGCCGCACCGTCACCGACCGAGGCCATGTGCTTCTTGTAGCGCGCCGCGCCCGCACACGCCAAAAAAAAAAGAAAAAAAGAAAATGTTGTGCTGACCTTTGTTGCCCACCTAGATTGAACAGAAGAAAATGGAGTATGAGAGAATCCGAGAGCAGCGGCGCCGCTTCGAGCTGGAAATGCAAAAGCTCGATCAGCAACAGCGTCGCGAGGCTCACGAACTCGCCCAGATGGAGGAGGAGATGGTTCGTGCCGGCGGCCACCAGTCCGAACCCACCACTCCCCCCGAATATCGCGACCATAACTCGGGCTTTCCCTCCATGTTCTCGCGACCGAATCGCTATTCCACCTCCAGTCTCACCTCGCCCCCGGGTATTTTCAACCGCCCCGGCAGGTCGGGTTCGCAGGTGACTTCTCCACCATCCGGCATCATGCAGCATCGTTACGGATACGATGAACCCCTGCCCTCGCGATCCGTTCCCACCACTCGCCGGAACAGCGACGACGAGAAGGAAGATGCTGTTCGACAGGATCCTTCTAGCCACCGATCTGGCAACGCGTACGTCCATGATACCCCTTCCTTGCATTTTCAAACCACGATTCTTGAGGCTGTCTGAAAGCTTTGTTGTCGGTGTTCCTGCTTCGTGGTCGTCAAACGACGATATGCATCATGGACATCTGTTTGCCAACAAAAGCTATCGCCAGCTCAGGTTTCGTGTCGCTGCAATAGTACTAAGCTATCAAGCTGTAGTCGTGCTGCTCTCTGCTTCAGTATCCTAACATTAGCAATAGATTTCACCGCTACTCGATGCCCGTTACCAAGTCCAAGAATGGTTTGTATGAAGTCAATTTGGACCAGACCAACACCGCCCGATTCCTGTTCGGCGAGGATGAACCAAGCGCTTTTCCGCGCCGGGACACTCCTGACCACACTTTTCCTACACTTATTCGTCGAGATGACCAGATCGTAAGTCTGCAATTTCTTTTCGGATGATTTGTTGAGAAATCACCTTGACGCAGGGCCATGCACGCTGCCGTTTACGCTGCCAGCTGGCAGCAGCTGCACGCTCATGTCGACTGCAAACGCCCGCATACCCACACAAGTAGTGCTGCTCCCTGTGTTTCCTCATTTTGCCCTCTTCACATCGCAGCCCAAGCAAGTGCCTTGCTGTATTTGCAATGCTTTCTAGCTCTTTACCATTCTTCACTCGTTGTCTTGCGTGCTTCTGACCTGAGTGTGCTTTCCGTTCAGCTTTCTGCATCTTCTGCTGCTCTCGACCTTGCATTGTCACCATCGCCAAAACCTGATTCCAGCAGAAACTGGACCAATGTTAACCGACATCGCGCGCAACAGAGTCTTTCGTCATTGAATATCAACGGTAGCTCCAGCCAGCTCGGTGATCTCAGCGCCATCGGAAGCCGCCCTACTTCTATGCGGCACTCTCTTGATCTTAAGTACATTTCCGAAAGTGGTGACGGAAGCGCTGGTGTCATTTCTCCCAAGAGCAGCCACGTCATCACAAATCCTCCAAAGCTTCAGAGCTCCTTTTCTGCCAACGAGGTTCCAACTGTTAAGAACTCTACCGGGTCCTCCACCATGGCCAACAACGCCAACAACCACGCTCAACAGCATTTCCATAACCACAATGTCAACATGGGAAGGATCCCCGCCGGGGCCATGCCAACACGCCACAGCCGCGAACTCTCCAGCGATAGCTCCATGAATGCTGGCCGAGACCAAGTTGGCGCTTTTCAGTCCATTCACTCTGCTCTACAAGCAAGTGCCGCCCCATTCGGCCCCAGCATGACCACATCCGCGGCTCCGTACAGCTCAGCGACCGCCACATCCGCTTCCACCGCACCAGCAATGAACGGTATGAATGGGATGAACGGCGCCAACGGCTTGAATGGTGTCGGTGGTATGAACGCAATGAATGGTTTTTCTAGCTACTATCCTCAGAATGGTTACCAGAACAACGGTCACAATGGTGTACAGTTCGGCGGTCCGATGCTTGCTGCAGGCATCCAGCAGCTGAATCTGAATGGTGTTTCGCCGGGCAACATGTATCCCGTGCAGAACTTTCCGGGCTACAATGGCGTTCCATTCCAGCACGGGTCTGGGGCACCGCAGAGGGACAGCCAGGCCCGCGTCATCCAGAATCGACGCCAACAACTCGACCCAGACGGTAAGTTGACAGACATGTATCCAATTCCACGATACGACGTGCTAATCATGTTCCAGCCATGTCTCGCTACCAAAACATGCCCCTTGAATCCTTCCGCTCGCAGATTTACGATCTTTGCAAGGATCAGCACGGCTGCCGCTATCTCCAGAAGAAATTGGAGGAACGAAACCCCGAGCAGGTTCACATGATCTGGCTCGAAACCAACCAGCACGTCATCGAGCTCATGACGGATCCATTTGGTAATTATTTGTGCCAAAAGCTCCTCGAATTCTGCAATGACGACGAGCGAACCGTTTTGATCCAGAACGCTTCTCAAGACATGGTTCGCATTGCCCTTAACCAGCACGGTACTCGCGCCCTGCAAAAGATGATCGAATACGTGAACACTCCTCAGCAGGTTCATCTCATCATCGAAGCTCTCCGATTCCGCGTTGTTGAACTGATCCAGGACTTAAACGGAAACCACGTTATCCAGAAGTGTCTTAACAAGCTCACTTCTCTAGATGCCCAGTTCATCTTTGATGCTGTTGGTAACAATTGTATTGAGGTCGGCACTCATCGCCATGGCTGCTGTGTCTTGCAACGCTGCATCGATCATGCATCTGGAGACCAGAAACAGTGGCTCGTTGCGCGTATCACTGCGCATGCCAGAATCCTTGTCCAGGACCCCTTTGGCAACTATGTCGTCCAGTACATCATCGACCTGAATGAGCCAACATTTACCGAACCGGTTGTTGCCACCTTTCAAGGATGTATCGGACAGCTTTCGCGCCACAAGTTTAGCTCCAACGTCATTGAGAAGTGTCTTCGGTGTGCTCAACCACCGTCGAAAGATATGATTGTGGAGGAAATGCTGGTTCCCGCAGAAATTGAACGTCTCCTTCGCGACTCTTTTGCAAATTATGTCATCCAGACAGCCTTGGAATTTGCCACTCCTCAGCTCAAATATCGTCTGGTAGAGGCTATTCGACCGATTCTGCCCCAGATCCGCACAACACCTTACGGACGACGCATTCAAGCAAAGATCTCGGCCTACGATAGCCGTGGAAGTGCCGCATCGAGTGGTCAAGCTACTCCAGCAGACAACACACAGGGTCAAATTCCTTTGCGACCGAACCACGCTAGAGGCATGTCTGGCACCGTTGCGCAAAACAACCTCACTGCCAACGGCTCTGGTAATGGCAACCAGGCCGCCCGCCAGAACTTGCCCCAATATGGCGGTAACGTGGCAATGGCTCCCGCAGCCCCAGTGCAGCCCTCTGTTCAGCAGCCCCAGTTTGGGCACAATGCTGGTGCCACGAATGGCGCGACTATGCAGTCGCCAATGAATGGTGCTCCAGAGAACTTGGAGACTCGCTGGGTGTAACTTTATCGGCGACGCATATATGGTAGCTCACTACCATTTGCTTGTACAACATGACGCCCCGGCAGTTGTTTCGCTTCAGCTGATTCTTTGCTGAAACCGATACTGCTCGCTCACGACTCTGATGAATTCTTTTACCACTTGTTTGAATAAGAAATGCAATGCATCGAAGGATAGTCACGCGCTACCGCGCCGTCGATGTCCGACAACGCACGGCACCTTTGAAGATGCCTTGTGTGTACACTACAAGCGGAAAGGAAAAATATTTACGAGAAGAAGAACGACCCGCATCTGGAATGCTCCCCGCACCTGCGTGCCTTGATGCTACTTTGATGCATCAATTTTTCTCGACAGAAAGGCGCTGCCAGCTGTGCCGGAGACGATTCCTTGCCATGTACTAGATCACAAGGATCGATATTGCATAGACACAGCACGTTTCACATTACTTTGCCTTTTACGACACGATCATGTTACTTATTCTCTTGCGTTTTCTTCGTTTATTTATTTTGTTTTTCTTGCTGAGAATTGTGCTCTATCTTCTTTCTTCCCTGGCTAGCCCGAACTTGCAATGATGCCGAAGCCACAAATTCTCAGCGAATAGTGAGTTGAGACGTGGAACTGCAAGCACGTTTGGCGGTCGCGGATACAATTTGTTGTTTTATTTTCGCTATTTGAATGATGCTCTCAACAAATGTACAAACTCGACCATTTGAAGCCGCTTCGATGATATTGTATCTGGTCTGGGTGACGGAAGCTTAATCTCATGGTACAAAAAGTCGCGGGGGGTGCAGTCTGGAGGAGCACCCTCTTTTCCAATTCTGGCATATTGTATGATTGTTTAAGTATAGGGAATTAAATACATATATACACACATTCATGAGCATGCTGCGAATCTGTGTTTTGTTGAGGGTTGGAGAGAGTCTTTGCATCATCGTTCAGCTGCTTTTTGATGAGGCGCTTTGTGCGAATCGCGTGCGTAAAGAATACGTTGATGGGCACTTGCCCAACTGTAATTCGCTATCTTTTCGGCTGAGGTCCTCTCAGTCATAACTCATATACTTTTGCTCAACACCAGGTATTAATTAGTCCATCCCAAGTATCCCCGTTCCCTGATTTCAATACCTCGACGGCACAAGCTCTAGAAATACTTTCTACTCAGCTCCAGAAGAATATATGCACATGCGTTCAGCCCTTCTCTGATGACTGATATGAGAGCAATGATCGAGATACAGACAGACTGCTTGGACTGGCAAGCCGGGGAGTTATATTTTCACATGCGGCTTGGACTGATATTGAAATGAGAATTGTGATGCATCGGACAATTACTAGATCAAAATTAGGGGGAATCAACCAATCCAACAAAAAAGCTTTCTTAAACAATACTGTTGCGAATGGGTATCCAAGACATGGGCCATTCAGCTGATGACACTGGAGTCTTGCCTTCTATATCTACACCCGTGGATCTCTTCATTCTACCAGCCTGCTTCTTGTCAACCTCTGTCCTTTTCTCGAGTAGCAGCTCCATCAAAGCTTCAACCTCGTCTCCCAAGTGCTGGGGCACATACGACTCCAAGACGGTATGAATGGAGACGACCAGCCGGTCGTCCACGTCCAGCACCTTGACCTGGGCGTACGGATCAGCGTCGTGACGCAAAAAGTGCTCCATCACCTCGATCCAGTTCTCGCACCCCGTTCTATACTGGGTCGATAGGCTCTCCTCGCTCTGCCCCTGCGAAGACGCAAAGTGTGACGCGGCCGCCGCGAGCGCGGCCTCCCATGGCGACTGCCCGTGAAAGGAAAAGTTTGGGTCCGCGCCGCCAGCGAGCAGCTCGGCTACAAGCGCCGAGTCGTCGCCCGCAGCGGGCATCGCGGCCAGCGACGCCACAGCCCGCATGAGCAGGTGCTGGCCGACGTCCTGGTCAAGGACGTTGGCGGACGCATCCTTGGCAGCGACATAGTGCGCCATGCCTGCGAGGCGCGCCACGTCGTAGAAGCTGCCGGCGGCGTGCAGCGGGATCAGATCCGGGATCTTTAGGCACCACGCCCAGTGGTGGTGGGTGGTCCCGACGATTTCACGGGGAGGTGTTCTCTTCTGAGCCGGCTGCTCTCGCATCGCGCGGCCGCCAAACCGTGTCTCTGCGTGCGCAATATACGAGGCGGCCAGCCTGTTTTCGGGAATGGCTGGAGGAACCGAGGGCTTGTCTCGAGACGTGCGTCCGCCGATGTTCAGCGTACTAAAAATGCCTGACTGGCTATCAATCATGGACGCCCGGTACGACTGCAAGTAGCTGCTCAACTGCAATGGCGTCGCAGTGGGACTGGCGCTCTTGTCGGATTGTCCTTCGCTCGTATCGCTACTCGCATCCGACATGTCATCGCCTCCGTAGACTGCACAGCAGTCGCCAAGACGCCACTGGTAGGCTGCAGCGAGGTCTAGCTGGTCGAACAGCTTGGGGAACCCTGCACCGAGCTCCGTCTCTGCTTCTCGGGCGTAGGCAACTGCGTCGACAATGATGCCCATGTTGAACGGCCGCGCGGGACCGATGTCCAAACCTTTGAGCTGCAAGATAGAGGATTTGAGAAGCGCAAGTGACGGGCTGAATTTCGTTGCGGCCGTCTGCGATATGAGCGCTGCCCACACACTGGGCTGGGCAATCCAGTCAGACACGGTACGGTGCAGGAATAGAACTTTTCTATCCGGTGCCATGCTAGAGTACTTCGCATCGTGTGATTCTAGAAGACCAGCGCAAATGCTGTGCAGTTTTGAGTCCATATCTTGGCAGCGGGAAGCCACTTCATCAATTGTAATCTTCTGCATTGGCGCCTCTTCTGCAAGAAGCTCATCCTCCTCGTCAGCAAAAGACAGCTGAAGAAGTGTAATCTTCTCTGGTGACTGTTTTCTAGCAAGCTGAAATACCTGAAGTATCTGTGATGCGCGAATGTGGTCCTTCGATGCTACCATGTGTGCGAATAAGTCGTCGAGCTCGCCAGGAAGTCCGTCAACTTGGCGCTGTAGGTCGGCGATACTATCATATTTCGGCAACTCATACACCAATGACCGAACCACAAGCTTGACCCATAAGAAGACTCCTTGAGATTTGGTCACAGTTTCTTGGATCAGGTGCGACACCTCTGCCGCCTCGGGATGTGAAAGCTGCTGCATGCGCGGTTGGCTGTACAAGCGATCCACGACGTAGTGACTTAGATCACCATGCGTCAAATCCTGGAGCCGGAGGGTGGGCATCCCGGAGAATGCCTCTTCAAACACCTGAAGCGGTCTACTCGAAAGACAGAATTTGATGTTGGGAAGCACAGCACACTGGGTCGCGAGACTGATGATCTCCGAGTGCTCTGCGCCGTATTCGTCTAGGCCGTCGATGAAGAAGCAGAGCTTGGTAGATTGGGCGAGGGACTCGAGGGCTACTTGAAACGCCCTCTTTAGTGCGGCAACAGTCATAGGTTCTGGCTCTAGGGGTAGCAGTGAGGTATCATAGGGCAGCCTGTCCTTGAGCACGGCCTTGGCGCGGGCAGACCACGTTTTCCAAACATCCAGCATGACCTGGGGCATCAAGCTGCGGTGTCTTTGCAAAATATCGAATAAGAGCGACCTGAGAAGACCACGCTGCGACTTCTGGTCCTCGGCGCCGCTATTCCAGAAGAAGAAGCTGTATACTTGGCAGGGATAATCGGCAGCCCACGTCTCGAGCTCCCGCTGTGTCGTTTTGTTCTCGTACAGGTGCCGCATGAGGGTTGATTTTCCGCTGCCTACCTTGCCATTGATCCAGTAGATGCCGTCTCCGTGCCGGAGCCAGTTGACAAAGCTACTCCAAGGCACTTGTGCATTTTGTGCGTCCTTGTAGATCCAGTCAAAGGTGCGGGCGTGTGACTTCTCCACACTCTCGCGACGATCGATCATGGTCGCAAAGGAAAGGCTCTCTAGGACGTACGTCTCGCTAATGAGGGAGCGGACTTCGTTTTCCAATTGCACGTTTGTTAGAGGAGGCGCTTTCGAGTTCTTGCCTTGTTCAGAGACTTGAAGGGAGCCGATGGTGTGAAGAATGTCGCCCACTGATAAGCCGAGCAGATCGTCGCCGCCATTGTCATCGCCATCGCCTTTATCGTATTCATTGAGCTGGAGTATTTTTTTAGTCTGGACTTGCATCATGGAGATGAAAGAGTCCTCGCTATTGTAGAAGGCATCCAGAATACGCGTCGTGAACCTCTTCAGCTCGTGGAATGTCCGCGATCGCTGGCTCGCAAGATAACAAAGAGCGCCGCTGACTTTGTAAGCAAGTGCGATGGTAATTAGAAGAAAAGTGTGCTTACCGAAATAATATAAGCATGCGGAACTGTACATCTCTTCGAATCTGCCAGAGGCTATCCTCCAAAGCCTCTATCTCTTGCCTGTCCCAGATTGCTCGCAACGCTTTGTGGAAGCTGTCCCAGCTCCGAAACTGCAACATTTCAGGCTGCTGCTGACTGTCTAGCGCTTCCAAGCTATCGGCGCCGAGCAAAGAACGCCATTTGTCTCCATGCGACTTTCTCTGCGGCGCAGCCTTGTTCACACTTGTTGGTCTAGTTTTCAGCCGAGGCAAATGCGCGAGGAGGTCCTGCACCGCACCCATGCATTGCGAGTACAGTGCTCTCAGTGCCGTGATATTTTCTGTGTTGGTACCCTGGCCAGCCGATACATGCTTGGGAGGCGTTTGTCGCTTGAGGCTCTGTTCGAGGGAGAGGAGGTCCTGGACTAGGGTTTCGACATTGATATCGTCAGTGATGTCGCCGTGAGCGGTCTTGTACGAGTGCGGGGCCTGAGAAAGAAGCTTGCTCCCATAGTCAGCAAATTGCATCAGCGTGGACGCGAGCGAGAGCGCGGCAAGGGCATCCATGATGACTGCCCGATGGGCATGCTGTTTGGTGATCTTTACTCCCTTGGCCGTCGGGCGCATAAAGCAAGCAAGTAGTGTCCCGTCGACGCCCAAGACAACACTGGGCTATTTATACTCTCCGGCAACGAGTGTCTGAATATATTTGTGCCACATGCAACTAAGCGTTGACTTGTGTTTGCGGTGAGGCTGAGCTCAGGGAGGGAGGGACAACGGACGGATGGCGGGGTCACCAGAATGACACGGCCTGTGTAACACGCGACTACCTTAGGCAGTCGTCGGTCACATTGCTGGTGCATTCAATTTGTGTGAGACTGTTTGAGGCAAATACTGCTCGAGATTGCGTCACATATTGGGCGTTTGAGTGATACAACCCTATTTGCGGATATTGCTGCCTTGATGTTGCAGGATGGAAAAAGGCTAGGCAGCTGACGCAGGAATGCGCAGTCCAACATCACGAGATCATTATTGACCAACCATTGCTTTCAGGAGTCCAGGGGCCAAACGCCTCTATTTTTCTTACAAGAAGATATAGGTCATGTAATTTCACCACATCCGCATGGTTCGCATGTATAGTCGCCATTGAATTATAGTATTCCAGAGATGCTGCAGTGTTGATGGCTCTTTCCATGCATCCTCAGGCACTCTGATGCCGACACCCAAACCCATGGACAATTCAGCGCCCGTGGCACAGGAAAGATGACGAATCACCTCTGCAGTATATCGACTTTCGCGGCCTTTATTCTCATTAGGACATTACCTATCATACATATATAAATCTCTCCCTAGTCTCCATCTCCAATGATTCACGCTGTACATAAACGACGCCATCTATTCAGCGAGACGCAACTTCTTACCGACATCGCCGCGGCGTCTCGCCTGCACGGCCGCTCGCTCAGAAGGCTTTGGCTGCTCGATAGTCTCAGCAGCGGCTTCTGTTTTGCGCGCCTCCGTGGCTTCCCGAGCTTTGAGCGCCTGCAGAAGCATGCCTGCATCAAAGAACCCGTCTGTCAAGCGTGGCAATCGCGTTAGCAGCTGGTCCAAGAGCCTATTTGAAAAATTTTGGTAGGGGTGACTTACATCCGCCTAATTCATCGTCGTCGCTGGCAGGCATACTGTCGTCAAGGGCAGAGTGGGAGTGCGCCTCGGCGGCGGTAGTGTGGGCGCCCTTGACGTGCTCGGTGCCGATAAGCGGGCGCCCGCGGTTCTTGAGGCGGCTCGAGGTGCTCGATTGGTGTGGGCGAGAAGACTCGGCCTCGCGGGCCCGGCTGACCTTGGCGGTCGAGGACTTGCGGTCGGAGAGGCGCAGGATGCGGCGAATCTCGAGAAGGTAGCTCTCGAGGGCATCAACGAAGCGCTTGGTCTGGCGGTGCTTGGAGGACACACAGATTGAGATGCTCTCGTCCTTGATAATGTAGCCAATGCCAAAGCCTTCAGCAGAGGTAGGTCCGAAACCGAAATGGCGCAGAGCCGGGTTGCCGCAGTTGGACGTGGACAGCACGGTCGTATTAAGCTTGTCCCAACCGCTGTCTGCAAAGAGCAGAGGTAGCTCCTGGTTGGACGAGGTGCGGGAGCGCGAGCCGGTGCTGTCGCCGCGCCCTCGCGTAGGGCGGCAAACTTCGACGGCGCCGCCATCGGAGGCGGTAGAGGGCTCCTCGCTGTCGGACCGGGCATCGCGTGGACTCGAGGTGCCGTAGCTCTCGCCGCTAGACATGTCGCTGTAAAAGCCGTCGACGTACTTTTGCCAAACACAGTAGAGGGCGTACATGTGCCTGTCACACCCCTGAGCCTTGGCACAAGTGCGCGTGTTGGCTACATGCTTCTGGCAGGCGGCCTTGAGTGCATCGAGCTTCTTGTCGACGGGATTGTCGCCCCAGAAAGTTTGCACAAAGTTGACAGACTCGTCAGTCACGGGGCGGACGGCCTCGGTACGACCATGCAGGTAAAATTTGGTCATGGCGGGCTCATAGGTGCATTCAACACGTCCGTAGAGACCGTAGTACGCTGCTTGGAAAGCCATCTGAACGTAAGCATCGGGTGAGAAACCCATGGAAGTGATAAAGTTCTTGCCGTAAGTGCCAAAGTCCAGACACTGGAATTCGTTTTGCTCGATGAGATCAGCCAGGCGGGTCTCGGCAAAGCGGACAGCAATGCTCAGCTCAGGCTTCATGTCCCAGCTCAGCTTGCGGGGGGTAGTGTTGACGTCGCCAAAGCTTTCGGGATCGCGCTTGGAGGGATCGGGGCTGGTTGATGTCCAGAGTGAAGGGGCCTGGCCGTTGATGGAGCGAGCAAATCTAAGGATCGTATCCGTGTAAACATCACTGGCGAAACGCAGAACGGTATGGCCATCGACGCCCGTATGCTCAAAGTTGATACCGGCACTGCCATTCTTGCAAACGATAATCTGTAGCTTGTCGTACCATCTGTTTGTGCAGGTACCAATCTGGACACCATTCTTGACCTCGCTAGTGCCGCAAAGCATGTTTTGACAGAGATCAGCGACGCTGGTGGGTTCGCTGTAGTCGAGACATAGGGCGAAGAGGGCGGAGTCAACGATATTCAGGCAGTCGGCGTTGTTGGATTCAGGCTCTCGGGTCAGAACATCTCTCAGTCCGGACCAGACCTTTCGGTTCTCTGTGCTCAGTACACCAACAGCACCCTTGGCGGCTTCCTGAATGGGGGTTTGAACAGCATCGTCAATGATTGTCTGCAAGTTGACGGCAATGTCGCGCTCGGTCATGATGGCGTCCGAGTTGTCATCAAGAACATCGAACCAGTACACCTGACCGTGGCACATGACAACCATGTGCTTGGAGTTGGGATCCTGCTCAATCTGGCAGCCGGCCTCGGTGGGAACACGAGCAGTGCCAAAGAGGCGAGAGAACTGGTACATACAAAGGGGAGTGCCCTTGACCATGTCAGGAGGGAGCTCCTCCTTTCTGACTGCACGAATGAATTCGAGTGCTGAGACGACGAGCGACGCGGCACGCGTAACCTGGTTGTTTCTAGCTGGTGTGGGGTCATCTTCGAGCAGGAAGAAGGGGTTCAGGTTGAGGACAACAGGATTGTCATAGTTGAGATATGAATCATACCCTAGTTTGTTAGTATCCAGGTAGTCTTGGAAAATACAAACTGGCTAGACTTACAAAATTGCTCAATGTAGCTAGTCTTGCCCTGAGCATAGCTCTTGAGCTTCTCTTGCAGCTCTGGACCATCTCGTCGCAGGAACTCGTCGACAGCCTGCTGTGTATCGGCATGTTCACGTGCAGTCTGTAGAGGCTTCAGGGCCTCGAGATATCTGCGGCATGAGGAAGCGAGCTCCGGAATGGGAAGCTTGGGTAGCTTGTCTTGGCTGGCAAAGGTAACGCCGCCCTTGCCCGAGTCGCTCGACATTGGGAACTTGGTGTAGACGGAGGGCCGCCTCTCCGAGTCCGAAGGCGGAGTGTTGGTGTCTTTGCGCAAGTCTTGGGGCTTGAGGGTATTATCTGCAAAAGTCCGTGGCGTGCTTTCGAATGACGAAGCTCCGAGAGCAAGAGTCTGACCGAGGGGCTGAGGGACTGCAAACGTTCTCACTTCAGTTGTCATGGTGGCGGTTAGTTATTGAATGGTAAGTAGCTGGCTATGGTGTCGATTGTGTAGTATATGTGCATTCGGTGCAGTCCTAGGAATACAGGGGCGAGACGGTGGTGCAGATGTTGAGACCGCGCAGGGCGGTACGGTAAAAGTAATGGCAGTCTTGAGTGCAGTAGGCTGGCATCTCACGATTGATGAGGACTGGGGACCAACAGAGTCTTGCTCAGAGCAAGACTGCGATAAGGCCAGTGTGGGTGCAGAGGGTGGAAGTTTGAGTGAAGCTTCAAGTGTATGTGCGAGACGAAGTACGAAGTAGGTACGGAGAGGAGAGCAGAAGATATAACCACGGCAGACGTGCACGAGCCGGTTGAGTGAGATGGGATGGGGGTGTGAAGGGGTGCGACTGATGAGGGTGATGAGGGGGGCGTGGGTTGAGGCTGCATCCTAGTAAAAGGCAAGGCACGATCGGGAGCGCCATGGGGTCCTCTCTCGAATTGGAGAGAGAGGGGGGGGGTGGGGGTTGCCCCAGAGGAAGCCCATGGAGTCAAAGCATGCCGAGTAATACCATGTCATTTCAGAGCCAAAGGGCCAAGAGGGAAAGGTAAGCGAAGCCATAAAGGGTGCATCCGGGGCATGTTGAGTGTGAGTGTGAGTGGATGATGTGCTTTGGTGGTTATTTGGAGGAGGAGATTGGAGCTCCGCAGGCCCGGCCGGCCGGGTAGGCCTGGCAGTTGGAGACTTGTCGGCAAGTCGAAGAGCGGGAAGAGGTCCGGAAAGAGCTGAACTGAAATCGTGGGCTCGGAAAGATGGATAAGAGACGTATTTCAACTTACCAAACAGAAAGTTATTGCGTTCGCCCGGAGATTGCTGTTGAGTGCGTCAACTACGCCGGTTTTCCTGCCGTGGTTTCTGGTAGCGTCCAGCGCGTTGGAGTGATGGCTAAGAGCGGAGGCGCGATAAGGATGCTCAGGAGGGTTGGTGCGCCGATGCTGCGCTTCGAAACTGGTGATTATAGAGTCAGCCGTTTTCCGGTGCGAGGCTGCTGCGGCCTCGGGAGGATAGTTGGGAGAGAAAACAGTCAGAACCGCTATCAAAGAGTTTTGGCATGTGGTGACAACTTGGCGGGCAGCTTGTTTCGGTGTCGGGGAACTAGGCTGCAGACGATAGAAAGCTTACTGTGACCAGAGACAAGGGCGGTTTGCCTTGGAGGGGTGGCAATGCAGCTACTGATCGGGGGCAGTTAGCTTGGTGACAGACGGTCGGAACCTTCCCAAAGGCGCTGAGCAGCTGGTGCTGGCGTCTCACATGGAACAGCTGGGTGACTTGAGGCTACGCCACGGAGCGAGGTTCGAGGCGTCACAGTGATGTATGGTTGTGCCGTGAGTAATAGATGATGGCTCATATGCAGCAACTAGAAAGGGCTGGCCGGATCTAGAAGCAGTATTAATTGCTGCAGGACGCAGCAGGAGGAAGCAAGCCTGAAAATAAAGGTGTGGCGCCCGTAACGTCTCGTTGCGCAAAGTAACAAGAAAAAAAAAATTGAGCAAATATCTCGGGGAGGGCTGGTCCTTGATCTGGTCAGATTGTCAACCTGATCAACCAACTAAATAGACAACTACTCCGCAAGTTTGGGGTTACCCTCTGCTCGGGCGAGTGGATGTCTCGGCCCAAGTCCCTCGAGAAGTCACTAACAAGCACTGTTCCACTGGACGTAGCATCGCCAGCTCCCCGCATTGCCCGGTCTGGTCAGACTGAACTGCGTACTTTCGCTGCCCTTTTATTTCTTGCCGGATATTTTCACTGCGATAAGCCTGCCCGAAGCTCCCCTCACCCACTACGCAAATGATGGCATATTCTCATCCCGACGGCCATGGCAGCTTATGGCTCCATAGAATATTACTCTTCTTCTCACTACTCCATATTCATGGCAGAAAGCACTCTATCGCGCCTCTTATTAATTACACACCCCCACAAGGTAGCATCAGCCCGCACGCAGACTACCTTATAGTCGGTAGCAACAACTTACAAGGCAGGTAGAGCTCACGCCGCATTACATAGTACATATGCCTCACCTTGAGAACCTCTAAAAGCCTCAAGCACATGGTGTAACAATTCTGCACTCCGCTACAGGCCCGGCCTCAGGTAACCATACCATGGCAACATCTTGACCTTGTCCACAATTAAATGCGGTCCATTGCCGCTGTTTTCCCAAGCTGGCCCAGTGGCAGACTTCCAATTTACTTGCGCTGACATATTATTCATCTCTAATATCTCTAATATCGCCAACACGACCGCGTGGGGACCAAAACGGCTGGGGACCACCCCCCCCCTCCCCCCAGTCTACTGGTAAACTTCATAGTTCGTCATTCATGCCATGTGTTCTGCCATCAGCCAGCCAGCCCTCCGGACGGGCGGAAGCCTACCAAAGCGCTATTGCCGATTCAACTATTTGCGCTGCTGCGACGGTCACCAGCAAGACCAAGACTGTGGAATCTAAACTATATCATTCAACATATCCGCAAGTCTCCTAGAAAATTTATTTTCGTCGGCATCACGAGCTTGATGAAACGTAAACGCTACACAGCCAGCGTGGGAGCCCGAGGGATGGAAGGCCTGTAGTTACGACACAGCGCCCGAGCCAGCGCCGACTGAGCGGCTCATGCCAAACGAAGCCTCCCTTTTCTGCAGGCTCTCTCGGTGGGCTGCCGGAGCTTTCACCCTACTGGCACTACGGGCACTTTAGCATGCACGGCACTATTAATACAACATTGCTTTATTTCAGCGTCACATACCTACTTCGGACCAAAGGACTTGGCAACGTCGCCGTGGACGGGATCCCGAGCTTACCTCAGCCATTGCAGTACCAGCAAACCAGTTAAGACTCTGGGGTTGTGCGAATTTTGGATTTTTTCTTGACAATGCGGCTTCCTGAATACAATTTCTTGGCCGGTAGCGGGTAAATATCCGTGTTGGAACAACAGCGGCGAATGGGCTTTACCTGAGACTGCTTGCGCCAACATGAACTGAGGGGGCAAATACATGTAGCAGTAATCAGTACGGATATGCTGCCTGTCTAATAAGTCAGTAAATGTGTCCTAGTAGTTAGACCTCTCATGATACATACATACCTCGGCGCTACCGACAGCATCGCCTTGGGACAGCAGAATGTCTCGTCTCATCTTACCATATCGGGACACTGTTTCAAGTCTTTCAACAGTTATACCCACCACGTCCACCTAGAAGGATCACTACTGAGCTCGGGATCTGACTTGTTTGCCAGAAGCTTGGCAGCTTCGCATCGGCTCTGCTCTGCTCCGGAATTTCCTGTTCGGGAGTTGGGATCCACACCTTTGCCGACGATGCACAGCCATTCAAGGACTTTGCGATTCATACCGAATCACTGCTAAGGAGAAAATCGTGGCTGAGATGCTGCTTTGAGCTCCATCTTGCGCGTACTTGTCGCTTTTCCAGCCTTGATCGTCAAAGGGCCGCCCGAGCCTGACATTTCTTACTTACACGCCTCACAGTGAGGTCAAGGTCAGGAATGGCTACGTCAATATTTCAACTAAAATGAGAGATAGTTTTCGTGCAGTTTCTCAAGATTTTCCATGATATTTTTCATGTTTTGGGACAGTTCACTTTAACTTGGCATTTTCAATGTCAGTTGGGGCATTGCGGGAGCAGTCAGGGCCGCTACGAGGTACATAGCTCTATAATAGGTACATCTTGAAGCCGCAACAACGCTAAAAATCACGGGACAAAATGCGAAAAATTATTCAGATTAGGGATCGATGAAAATGAATCTTTGACATATTTTCCAGTGCACACATTCTATTTGATTTGTGTACTTTCGCTCGGGCAATACCCATACTGCCAGTATTAGTTGAAAACTCAAGGTGGCTGGTGGCTGAAGTGGCGTCTGTGAAGCTCCCCAACCCTTTTGTGGCGTCGGTCGAGGACAGTCGCATGTGGTCGCTCTAGACTTGCATCACAAGGATCTATGTGGTCACAATCTCTGGTCATTGACCCGACTTGCTTCCCTCGGTTCTCTTATCACTCTGACGGCAAGGTCGCTGCGCGCTTTCCATTGCCCCCTCGCAGTTCTTTCATCATTATCTGAATATACTTCCATCACTATTTCGCTCATCCAAGGGGCCTCCTCAGCTTCCCTGGCCACGACTTTGAAGACCCCCCCAATTACCGAGCTGGCTCTCCGCCCCCGGTCACCGCACCACAGCCGACCACATCATGAACAATCATTTTTCAGCCGTCGGCGAAAGCCCCGCCGACGGCAGTTACGAGCATGGCGTCCAGGTTATTGACGAGGACAAGGAATTCAAGTTGGTGCTCCTTTGCCTCCCCTTTCCAATCCTTCGCCGTCGCGGCGCATCGTCGGCGTTGTAGCTATTTTGTGCGCCGTCTCCGCGCCCAGACAACCCAAGCTAATCAGCATGGCCACGCAACAGTACCAACATCACCGAGTACCTACGAGTGACGGATGTTGCTCAAGCTGGCTTCAACTATCACCTCATCTCCGTCTTCGGCTCCCAGTCTACCGGCAAGTCAACGCTCCTCAATAACCTCTTTGGCACCGAGTTCTCCGTCATGTCCGAGACGGAGCGTCGGCAGACGACCAAGGGCATCTGGATGTCCAAGAATAAGCGCATCGAGAGCGCAGGAAAGAAAATGGCCGACAACATCCTCGTCATGGACGTCGAAGGTACTGACGGTCGTGAGCGTGGCGAGGACCAGGACTTTGAGCGCAAGAGTGCTCTCTTTGCGCTCGCCACCAGCGAAGTCCTGATTGTCAACATCTGGGAACACCAAGTTGGTCTGTATCAAGGTGCAAACATGGGCCTCTTGAAAACCGTTTTCGAGGTCAACTTGCAGCTGTTCCTCAAGGACAAACAGTATGCCCGCCCCTGCCCACCGCTTTAACCCAAAGTCGCAGTACTAACCAACCCTTTCGCAGATCCACCCCGCGATCGCTTCTATTCTTCGTCATTCGAGATCATCTCGGAAATACACCCCTCGTGAACCTCCAGACGACCTTGATCCAAGACTTGACCAAGATTTGGACTTCCATCTCCAAGCCCTCTGGCCTCGAGAGCGCCAAGATCGAAGACTACTTTGACTTTGGTTTTGCCGCTCTTCCTCACAAGATCCTGCAAGCCGAAAAGTTTACCGAAGAAGTTCGAAAACTCGGCGCAAGATTCTCCGCTGCACAGCGATCCGGTGCCAAGGGTACCCACGGCGACGAGGAGCTGCAGGGCGGCATCTTTCTGCCCGAGTATCATCGCCGCATCCCCGCAGACGGTTTCTCGGTGTACGCCGAGGGTATCTGGGACCAGATCGTTCACAACAAGGATCTTGATCTCCCTACCCAGCAGGAGCTTCTGGCGCAGTTCCGGTGCGACGAAATCGCCAAGGAGGTCATCGCAGCGTTTGACATCATTCTCAGCCCTCTAGAAGAGAAGCAGGTTGAGGCATCCAACCTGGGAAAGATTCTGGTGCTTGCCGATCTCGGCATCACCGGCAATGAAGCTCGGCAAAGGTGTGTCAACGCTTTCCAGTCGCAGGCCAGCCGCTATCACAAGAAGGTATACGCGGAGAAGCGTCTTGAGCTTGAGAGCAAGATTGATTCCAGACTCAAGACTCTGTATCAAGGTCAGCTGGCTGCGTCTCACAAGGGTGGCGTCGCTGCCTTTACCGAAGCTGTCACCAGCAAAGTCAAGGCTGGCCAAAAGGCTGGCGGTAGCTACGAATTCGCCGAGATTGTTTCTAGTGAAAAGGAAAAGGCCCTCAAGATCTTCAAAACCGAAGCCCAAAGCTTGGCGATTCAGGGTGTTCCATGGACCAACTTTAAACCCCAGTATCAGCTCTACGAGGCTGACCTTGACGAAGTCAGTGGCAAGCTGCGCAAGGAAGAAATGCGACGGCTTGCCACGCGCGTGGAGCGGTGGGTTAAATCCCGCCTCGGTGATGCTGTTGGCCTCGAATTCAACAAGCTCGGATCTGGTAGAGGCGGGTCCGGCGCTCCTGAGGACGTCGAGAAGCCTGAAACCGAAAAAGATCTTTGGGACCGCATCTGGAACGTCTTTACCGACATTATCAGCGAGGCTCAGACACGCTTCGTCGACCGCGCCAAGAGCTTCGACGCTAGCGAAGAAGAAGTCGTGATTGGCTTGTGGCGTCTGCGCCGCAAGAGCTGGGTCGGCCTCCGCGAGAGAATTGAGGAAGAGGTCATGGAAGGAAACATCCTCCTGAAGCTTCGCGAGAATTTTGAAGACAAGTTCCGCTACGACGAAGCTGGCGTCCCTCGCATCTGGCGCCCCACCGACGACATTGAGGGCGTGTACACCAAGGCTAGAGAATCGACACTGACCTTGATCCCTCTGCTTTCTCGCTTCCGACTATCGTCGACCTATGCGCCACCCGATTTGCTGAGCTTCATTGGTCACCAACCGGTCGGTGTCGAGGCTGGCGATGAGGAAGACTTGGCGCCTATCGGTGGCGTTGACGAGGAAGAAGGCAAGAGCCTAGAAGAGGAAATGACTGTCTTGAGTGAGAGCAAGCGCCAGGACCTCGTTGTACGATTCAAGAAGACGGCAGATGGCGTCTATGTTGAGGCCAAGCGTGGCGCCATTGGTGGCGTTGCACAAGTTCCTTTGTACTTTTACGGTATTCTTTTGGCGCTCGGTTGGAACGAAATCTGGATGGGTAAGTTGCCCCCCATCTTCATCTCTTGAGACAAGTCTAACAATTTTCATAGTTTTGCGTAACCCCTTTCTTTTTATCCTATTGTTACTCATCGCCGGAGGTACATATGTCGCTTACACGCTCAATTTATTGGGCCCCATGATGCAGATGAGCAATGCTGCCGTCACCCAGGGCATGGACATTGCCAAGCAATCTCTGCGCGAATTCATCGCCAACTCTGACATGGCCCGTCAGGCCCTTGCCGTCCCCGCGGACCAAAGCAAGAACGAGAGCATCGACCTGGATACGCTTGATTGTCGTGGTAAGAAAACGGCCGCCGCGAAGAAGGACGCTGATGACGACGAAATCTGATAAAAAGAGCGGACGTAAAGGAACTCATGTTGAAAAGCTTAGAAGCCATGCCACGGTATGTGTAATTACGACTTAGAGCGAATAATATATATGGAGATGACTTGTGAACTCTTTTCTCTTTGATCTTGCGTGATATCATGTTGACTGTCTCCAAGTCTAATAGATCCATTAACGCCGGCCTAATACCCATCCTATGTATACATATGCACTTTATTGTCAAGTCAACGTCACAAGCGTCGGTCTAATTGAACGTTTTAGAACGCTTCTAAACCGGCTGGCGTACCAAACCAATGTCCGAGCTCATTCGTGTCCTTGTCGCCCGAAACGAAGAAGTCGGTCACGCGACTCGTCTCGCCGTCGTCCTCCACCGGCCACTCAACCTTGACACCGTTGCCCTTGGCCTCGAGCATATCCTTGGCCGTGCTCCAGCTAAATCGGCACTCGGGCCCCCATCCAAACACTGGGTGCAGATTACTGCGCATCCAGGCCGTGCAGCGTGCGTCGGAGGGGTAGCCGGAGCCCCAGGCCATGGCCGTGTCGTCGTCGTCGATTTCCTCGTGATCCGCAGGATGATCCTTGCGGTCTCGGTACACTGCCTCGAGAGCCACGTCACGGGTGACCTTGGCGCAGACCGAGGCGGCGCTGACGCACGCGTACAGGCTGTCGGCCTTTTTCGCGACCGTGACCTTTGCGGTGGGGAAGATGCGCTGCAGCTTGGCCTGGTACGTGGCGGGCGGGCCGATGGTGTCGACGTAGATTTCCTGGACGTTGACGCCGCGCGCGTAGACGCCCTTGATGAGGTCGACGGTGGCGTCCATGGCCTGCGCGTTGAGGTTGTAGACGCCGACGGGCTTCAGCATGTTGGCGCCAATGTCGCGCGCCGAGAGCGCCGTCGTCGCCCAGCCGCAGCTGTCGTGGAGGTCGGAGCCGGGCCGGCAGAGCGCTTCCATGAGCGACGCGCGCACCGCGGCTGTGAGCACCTTGGAGTCGTCAAAGTGGTGCGCCGAGCGCAGGAGAGGGTCGGATTGTGCGATTGGTAGGTAGAAGACGCCGTAGACCATGGGGCCGAGGACGGGGCCGCGACCGGCTTCGTCGACGCCGAGGCAGCACGGAGTTGCGGAGGCGGGGTTCGAGGGATCTTGCGGGAGGAGAGACGGCGGTACGGGAGAAAAGTGCGAATAGGACTGGCCGACGAGCAGTGGCTCGCCGTGGATGGACGGCGGGACGAAGGCGCCAGCTTCGACCTCCAGGGGAGTTTCTTCTTGTGAGTCGCCCATTGGTAATATTTTCGGTGCGAATGCGGTCCTGAGCTCGAGGCAGGAGTATGTTTATAACGAAGCAAAATTATTCGGCGATGCTGTGCCGCAAAATGTCGGGCAAGTGCTGGTCTGGGAGACGCGTTGGAGATAGCAGCACGCGTTAAGCTCAGGACCCGCTGTCCTGAGTCCGGCCAGCTCCACCACCCCGAACCTGCAGGGCCCCACAGCACGTCAACACATCACAACAAGAAACTTTGGCGCGTTGCTGAAGACTACGACTTCACTGCGAAATACAGACGATAACTACCTTGCTAAAACGAGCTTACGTTTGAAAACTGCTACGAATATACTTTGGCTTGCTTATGCGAGAGCTTCATTCTGCGCGCCCCCGGCCCGAGTGGCCGCGAATTTTCTTTTGAATAGCTGGTTGCTGTTGAGCTAAACCCGCCCGCCGCCTCGCAGCCATGGCCCGTCCGACGAGGCGCCCCGATGAAGCTTCGCCGCAAGGTCTTTATCAACTCGGTGTCCAAGGAAGGTAGGTTTCGGGATGGCGATTGGACTTTTGGCGATGGAAGTAACGGTGGCGCTAATGGCTCGGTAGAAAAACCGGCGCGACACTGAAGGACGATGGCAAACGCGATGAACAGGGCATGATGCCTACCGAGGGCCTTTTCTCTTCCCCGGGAGGCAATACTACACAAGTATCCGTCGCGGCGCCGACAAAGGAACCAATACGGCAGGCTACGCCGCCGTCAGCGGTGGATGAGGATGCCAGCGCTCCCATGGAAATAGCTTCAAGTAAGTGCAGCTGCATCACCAGCCGAAGCCGCGCCAAGAAAAAAGGGTATTAATGGGTGTCCTCTCAGGCGATGGTCCTGGTCCGGGAACTGTTCTTCGAGAAAGCAGGAACTTCAAGCTTCCTCTTCCAAAAGGCCGATCTCCGGCCAAGACAAATGCGAGCTTACTACGCTCTCCGGCGAAACGAAATCCCAACATATCGCCAATGCGCCCATCTCCCGCAGACTTGAGTGCACGGCACATCGACTTTAGCAGTCCTTTGAAAAGGAGTAGCGGGCGGAGACGCCCGAGCACTATAGGAGAAACTCCAAGCGACGACTCAATAAATGCACTCTTGGGCGAGTCAACAGGAATGGTTGGTGCGAACCAAATACAAACAGACTACCGGACCGTAAATGAGTATAGCCCCAGCGTACGGTCACCTCAACCTACACCAGTCATGTCTGAAAAGGCTAGGGGGAAACAAAGGGCGGTCTCTAGCAAGTCACCCACGAGGCCCTCGCTTAGAGAGCCAGCGCCACCGAGTGTTTCACCGCCGGCGCCATTTCCTGATGAGCCCAGCATATACGTTCAGGATCCCGCGCCGGAGCCAGAGCCAGAGCTAGAGCCGGCACCAGAGCTGCCGCGATATTCGTCATCACCACATGCTCCGATACGTGAGCCATCTATTTCGATACCCTCGCCACAACCACAGACGCACAAGCGTCCCACAACGGCTGTTTCGCCGACAGAATCAACAGTGCGCCGTTCTCGTGACGAAGAGGATGATCGCAGAGACCGCGCAAAACGACAGAGGCAAACAGAATCTGTAGTATCTCGGCGTAGCGAGCAAGCGGCCAAGCGAAGACCCGGGCGACCGCTGAAGAACGGAGGCGGAAAACGTGGACCTGGACGCCCGCGAAAGAGTGACGAAGAATCCGATGGAGAAGAGGGCGAATCTTTGATGACATTACAAAGAGGGCCGCCGATGCCCAAATCACGAGGCCTAGTCTCCATGCGTCGCGATGCCACCGCTGGAGTCGAGTCTCGGCATAGAGGCAACGACGCCGATTGGTGGGCTGACTTTCAGAATGACGATCCTACGTACGGATACGAGCCGGCTCGCGGCCAACGCCTTGCATCGCAGGCTAGCACTAGGCACCGACGTCGCCCAGCCGCCGCCATGGTCGACGAGGAGGAGGAGCTCGAGGATTGGGAGGTCGATCCTGGCAGCATAACTGCTGAGATCGTGCTCTGGGAGCCCGAACACGAGCACAATCCACCTGGGCCCGACGACACCGTGCAGGTCACTGACGAGCGAATCGCCATTACAGCCGAGGCCATCAAGACTGTTGAGATTAGTAACTCGGACGCTCGCTACGCCAAACCGCTGACGATGCCATTCATGGGTGCCGGATTGGTCGATTTGCCACCGGGGTCGGAGAAGCGCCCCAAAAACTCGCGCAAGATGCATCTTGTGTTTTTCGTGCACTACGGCAAAGTCACTGTCAGCATCAACGAGGTGCAGTTTCGCATCTCGGCCGGCGGCATGTGGTTTGTGCCGCGCGGCAACTACTACAACATTTCAAACGACTATGACTCTCCTGCTAGGGTATACTTTGCGCAGGCCTGTGAGGTATCGCCTTTGCCGGGGGTAACGGAAGACATGACGCAGACGATTGTGGCCTAGTCTCACAATTGTCACGGCTTAAAATGTTGGTCCTTGTTGTATTTAGATTTTTGGAGGCGTTGTTGGATTTCGTGCGGGGTTTTTGCATATTATTCGGTGAGCGTTGGCCGTTTTACTTGCATTTGTTTCCGATGGACAACGAATATACCCATTTCATGCTCTGTATCTACCTACTTGTGTGTCTGTCATGCTGGTATAACGTGTAGACTGGGGCTATACTGCAGTACTCGTTCTTGTGGGCAAATTGCAATTGGCTAGGCACACTCAAGGCGAGGCTGTACCTGCCACCAAGGGAAGGCATCAGTTGAACAGCGAGCGAATCAAGAAGCGACTAAGAGTCGTTCAAACGCAGCCACCATAGTTTCCGGGCTTGCTGTGGTCACACAGAGCAATGACAAAGCTGGCTCATGCAAAAAGCTTGAGTGACTTTGAGAATGCATGCAGCCAAGTTTTTATCTGGAATCAATAGTGAAGGGGACTTGTCGCGCATTATAGTCGTCATCCCGAACCTACCACCAGACAAGGACGTTGTGCGACCCATGGGCGCTTAGGAGCCAGTGCATCAGGATAAGCTGTCCGCCTTGCAACTATATCCTTGAAAAGATTCCGCAATATCTCTTACAAGTGACACGTATAGCGGAACTTTCACCCAATGAGCAATTGCAGCGAGTAAACTATCGGCGGCGGCAGCCACGGCCGTGTTCCGCTACGACGCATACCGTCACGTTTCGCAAGGTTCGTCAAAGAGAACACGGGGACTTCGGAAAATTTACTTGATAGATGGGAAAGTCACTGTTGGACGGTTTGAAGCCCGCCCCGGGGCAGCACACGTGTTGAGGGTCTACAGGCGGCAGATGCAGCTGACAGCGTGTTTGTGTAACCTGGTACCACTGCATCACAGGAGCTCGAATTTTTCCTCTCTCCCGGTGGCACCAACCGTGTTGAGGCGGGAGGTGAAGAAGCTGGGTATCGCACAAACGCAGGTCGAGCCAGTCAGAGACAAAAGATTGGAGCTTCTGGAGAACACAAGTTTCTTTTTCCGACTCGTGTAGCTGAATCGATGCCCCCCCGTATCCCAGAATGAGGCGCGACTCATCTGCCAATACTTGCCCCCGCGAGCAAGCTACATCTTATTAGTATTCAGTCTTGCTCTCCACTTGCGGCTTCACTCGATTCTGCGTTTTATTGTTTTTGGCCTATTCATAAGCAGCCATTAGCCCCCGAGTTGCGTCCAGCTCCGGAGCCATGACACGCAGAGACTTGAATGGTGGCCGCCCGGCCGGGGCTGGCCATGATCACCCTGGACAGGTCCTCGGTTGCAGAATCAGCAAACCATATAGTTGGAACAGGCGCAGACGGTCCTGGGCTTCCCGCTCCATATCCACGATGATCGCTCGCGATCGCCAACGCGGGGGTTCTCCCACCGTTGCAGAGCGAAGATCAGCTCCCGCTGCATTCTCAGACAGCACCAATGACGGTAGTGGCTCATTTCAGAGTCTACGGCAAGATCTTGAGCGCATACATTATGAGAGTCTGCCCGGAGCGCGAATCATGATTGCTCGGCCGCCCAGCATCCGGCACGGGGCGGCAGAGCACGTCCCACTGCTCCAACCAGCCGAGTTTGTCAGTCAGACGCGCGATGGTCGCAGCATCATGGGTGTGCTGCAGCGCATCGAGGATGTCTGCTTCAGGCTTTTTGTGCCTTTTATTGCCATTCCGTCGCGGCCGCCCTGGGCGCGTTTCGTCAAGGATGAGCTACGATGCATCATTTCATACAATCCAGCCAGCGATGCATGTGAGTTCTTTTGCAGCTCTCACGACGTGGCTCTAATTGGGGAGAGCTCTCTACATAGCCATCTCGTTAGGCGGCGCGATATCCAAAGCATTGAGCCTGGCATGTGGACGGTCGCTGTGCCTTCGAGCTCCGCGCCGGGAGAGACTTTCTTCGGCCGTCCGCGGCGGGTTGTAGAATTCTTGCTGCTGAAGCGCAAGTGCTCGGTGACCTTGACGCGTCCAGCAGCAGCAGGAATGGATGGCAGTCTCACGCCCTTGCCAGAAACCGATTCTGCAATCAACATGCAGTCTGCCAAAGCTCCTGTCCACCAAATCGTTGCCGACTTCATCATGGGGGCTGTTGAGCCAAGCGAGCCTGCAGACAAACAGTTGCCGAGGATACCGGAGGGCGAGATGCTCACACTTGATCCGGACCCCTTTTATAGGCTTCAAGATGGAGAGACAGTACGCGTGACAACGATCCCGGCAGGCAGCAACGATGCAGGGATTGAGCAGCGGTACGCCGAAACTGCAGAGTCGTATCAGGTAACACGTCTGCAAAAGATTGACAGAAGCAGGCATTCGAGCGTTTTTGCATGCATCCACAGCAAGCTCCCTCATTCTACCCTCGTCGCCAAAGCTCTCAATGTCACGTCAAGAACTCGTCGCTCGGTTACGTCCCTGGCAAATCACTGGAGCAACGAGATGGAAATACTGAAGACCTTGGATCACGTACGTGTTTTTTTTTTTGTGCCGTACACATTTCCCTGTTGATAAGCACCTGACTTTTGACTCTAGAGAAACATTGTAAAACTTCTCAGCTGGGACGCACGATTCTACACCGTGTACTTGGAGCACCTCCCCGACTCGCTCGCAACCTACCACAAGGAACCAGGCTTCACCAGAGAAGACGCCGAGACCATTTTGAAGGACGTTGGTTCCGCGCTCGCCTACCTCGAGGAGAAGAAGATTAGCCACAACGACATCAAGCCGCGCAACATTGCCTACTCGCCGGAGCGCGGCGCCGTGGTGCTCGACTTTGGGCTCGCGAGCGCGGGACGGTGGGTGCCGCGGGCCACGGGCGGCACGGCGTGGTACGTGCCCCCGGAGACGCTCCGCGTCGGCGAGCGGACGAACCGGGGCAACGTGTGGGCGTTTGGCGTGACGATGCTGTACGTGCTGTGCAAGATCGACATGCCCGAGGACTACTGCAGCCCGTGGGACTTTCTCAACATGCAGGACCCCAACAGCGACGACCGCATCGCCATGGAGAGCTGGGCCGACCAGGTTGGCGAAGTCGTCGACGACCTGAAATTGGAGGACCCGGTCGAGTGCGTGGTTGCGTGGATGATGGATCAAGAGCCGCACGAGCGCCTGGAGGCGGTGGAAATCATACCGGCGCTACTAAAGAAGCAGCAGGAACGGGAGGAGGAGCGAGAGAAGAAGGAGCGGGAGGAGAAGGAGCGAGAGGAGAACTAGGTGGCTGGGAATTTTCTTTGGATTTTTTGGAGTCGATTTGGTGTTGATTTAGCGATTGATGATTTATTTACGCATATCAAGTGATCACATGCACCTCTGCCCTTGCAAATTTGTCTAGGCTGCTGTATTGATAACACAACTCTAATCACTGGTGAGGCAATCACCGCTAATGTCCCTGCCACAGCGAGTCGGTGTAAGCGCACGGTAGACAAGCCGGCACAACAAAGACATGCACAGTAATCTACAACCAATAGAGGAAAAATTCAATCGCGACGGCACTTTCTACTGCATCACGTCTTTCAAAGAACATGAAAGGGCGCAGGCCCCACGCAAGGTGTGACGAGCAACGTATTGGGGTCACGGGTAAGTAGGTATCCTGCTCGGCCTCCGTATCGGAGGCTCGGTCGGCGCCCAGCAAGCACGTTCTCGAGAGCCCAATTTCCAAAGACACGCCTTAGCTGGTTCACTCTTTTTTTCCCACCAGACACTCATTTGCCCTCCAGTGCTAATTGCGGAATTTTTTTTTTAACTTCTTTCTTTTACTGTTCGTTGCGACCTGCCCGGCTCGTCTTATTGATGACATGCCCACAATGTGCTTTTTGGAGGGGTGTAACACCAACAGGGGCGGTTACGGCGGCGACGCGACCACAACCAGCGCGGACACTGGACGGCCAAAGTTTTGGATCGAATTTCGCACCTTTGACGATGGCATGCATGATATGAACAAAGCTTCGAGACCAGCCTCGTTTCCACAATTTGCGCGGTTGCCGCCGGAGCTACGTCTCAAGATCTGGGAGCTCCTGGTGCAGCCGCGCATTGTCGTGGCGTGCTGCCTGGAGCGAGATGGGCGGCTGCAGGAGCGGCGCGCGCAGCTACGCAGTCGGACGGCGGGAGAGTCTACGGAAGGCTACAACGAAGACGACGACGACAGCAGCGGCGGGATGACCAACGGCAGCTGTAGCCCCGTGCTGCTGCGCATCAACCACGAGGCGCGCAGCGTCGGCCTGCGCTTCTACGAGCTTACATTTAGTTGGCGCATTTCCAAGCTGTTGTCGGACACGCCCGTATCGCAGCCGGCGCGCGTGTGGTTCAACTTTGCGCTGGACGCGCTGTACCTGACAGGCGAGCTCGAGGCTTTTGACGCGTACGGCTTCAACTCGCCCATGGTGTACTTTTTGCGACCCGAAGACACGCGCCGCGTGCGGCACGTCGCCTGCGCCTTTGCCGAGCTGGGGTATCCGCAATTGGAGAGCGATCAGATATTCGGGTGTCTATGGCACGTCGCGGATCGATTCCGGGCGGCGAAGCGGCTACTGCTGGCGCTGAGTCCGGGGGAGGAAGAGGTGGCACACTGCAAATTTTCGGCGGGCAGGACCGGCAAAGCAGGCAAGGACGGACAGCGCGGCGTGACGCTGATGGACGAGGATAATATAATGCAAAAGATTTGGGAGGGCTGGATGGGCAGCGTCAGCGGCCAGAGATCGCGGGACGACAGGACGCAGCTGGTGGACAAGAAAATGGTCTTGGTGAGAGAGGAGAGCCTGGCTGATGTGATAGCTGGCTGTTAGACGTCGGGACGAGGGCAAAGTTTGCCATCGTGTAGCTGTGTGTACATGACTGGATGAATAAAGACAGCTCTGGCTTCAATCGTCGCAATGCCGACTTTGACAGGCGAGGCGAGAGCACAGCACAGAGCCAACTCTCAGGGTTGTCACCGAGCTGTACACCCTTTTGGGCAGAGTCTGCAAGTACAAGCTACCTGGCGAGCCAGGTGTAACAACGGCCATGGCTGCAGCGTTAACTAAGTTAGTCGCAAGAGGGTTTCGGATGGGCGGATAGTAAAAACAGGTCCGAAGAGCCTGTTGGGCCGTGATGGGTACCGAATAGCTGACCCCTCATTGGGTGAAGCTGTGAATCTCGAGCTCGGCGCAAGGGGAATTAAAGTTCGAGATACATGTGAAGTGTAGCGCCAATTAGGTATCCTGGAAACACTGAGCTTGGAATTTTTCATGAACCTCCATTCACGAGCTTATCCGTTCTCATCGTCCATGACGATCGTTCGACGCAATAGCTCGCGGAGGGGTACCACAAAATTTTCGTCACTGCGATTCTTCGCCCTTTGCCTTTGGCTGTTGCCCCGCCCGCAGTTTGGTTGCTTGGTCCGCTTAGTTGCTTGGCTTGGGAGCTTCTAGTTTTTATGGTGCATGCACTGCTTGGGCACAGCTGCAGCCACAAGCGGCCGGTACGTACCACCCGTTTAGCTGCGCCCCACCACCTTGCCTGCCAGCCAGAGAGCTCCGTTCGTTGCCTTGCCACTCCAGCTAGAGCTTTCTGTAAGCTGCGGCCATGGGTTGGCGCTAGATCTGACAGCAAACGACGCAGCAAGTTCAGTGGCTGAAAAGCAGTAGAATGAGGGCAGTGAAGCGAACGCGAGAAAATTTTATGTTTGTGGCAGGGCGGTGAGCACAATCGGGGAGCAACTGCCACAGCCACGGTCGAAGCATCGAAGCATCGAAGCTCATATTCTTGATTCGGTTCGGTTCGCGGGGTACAGACGGAAGCTCTGTCGGGCTGTTCTTCAGGCACCTTGTCCTGAGCTGAATGATTAATCTTAGTAAAACCATGGGGGCCTTCGAGATCTCGTCCTTTCCAGGTCGACCCATCGCCTTCGATTCTCTGTAGCTCTGTCAACGGATGGCGTCCTGCAAAGCCCTCACCAGCCCACTATGACGCTGGTTCAGCAATCGCGTTTGGAGGGGCAGAGAAAGGAAAAAAATGGAGGTGGGGCAGAGAAGGTACTGGGTACTTCTAACTTACCGCCACAAGGCAGCTCCGACACACACTAATCAAGGTATCTGCAACCTCCTCCGTTGCCCCGCGATGGAAAAGGGAAGCACCTCACCGAAGGCTGGAAGGTCTCCGTGATGGGGGTCCAGAGGAAGCATCGTGGAAGGCGGAAAACGAGGAAGGCGCAGAGAAAAATACCCAGAGTAGAGCGAAGAAAAAAAAGGCAGCAGCCAAAACCGGTAATCAGAGACTTGCGACAATTTTCCCGCCGCAACGTCGCGCAGGAATCCACCCGCCTTTTGTAATAGACTCTGGTGGGTGCTTCGAGCACCATGCAGCTCTCTCCAGGCGGCTCCAACAGGCTCCAGCCGTTGCCAGAGACTTCCACAAGCCCCTGCCACCCTCTAGTGGGCTCCGCTGGAACTGTTTCGAAGCACATAGAAGCGCCCGCTTCTTCTTATTTAGATGCCCTTTACATCCTGCTCACCAGAGAAACCGCACTTGTCTTTTCTACTCAATTCATTCACACACACTTTATACCCTTCTACACATCATCGACAGGAAGATTTAGCTTTCTACGCCTTCCCACTCTCATATAGGCTTGATTGCTCCCCAACATCACTAATTTCCTTTTTTCTTTCCATCCGCACATACACAAATCGCCCACAATGACGACTTCCACTACCGCTGTCGGTATCGATCTCGGTACCACGTACTCTTGCGTCGGTATTTTCCGTGAAGATCGCTGTGACATCATCGCCAATGACCAGGGCAACCGCACCACTCCCTCATTCGTTGCCTTCACCGACACTGAGCGTCTCATTGGCGATGCCGCCAAGAACCAGGTCGCCATGAACCCCCACAACACAGTCTTTGACGCCAAGCGTCTCATTGGACGCAAGTTCTCAGACCCCGAGGTTCAGGCTGACATGAAGCACTTCCCCTTCAAGATTGTTGACAAGAATGGCAAGCCCGTTATCGAGGTCGAGTTCAAGGGCGAGCAGAAGACCTTCACCCCCGAGGAAATCTCCTCCATGGTCCTCACCAAGATGCGCGAGACCGCTGAGGCTTACCTCGGCGGCACCGTGAACAACGCTGTCATCACTGTCCCCGCCTACTTCAACGACTCTCAGCGTCAGGCCACCAAGGATGCTGGTCTCATTGCTGGCCTCAACGTCCTCCGCATCATCAACGAGCCTACCGCTGCTGCCATTGCCTACGGTCTCGACAAGAAGGTTGCCGGTGAGCGCAACGTCCTCATCTTCGATCTTGGTGGTGGTACCTTTGATGTCTCTCTTCTCACAATTGAGGAGGGTATCTTCGAGGTCAAGTCCACTGCTGGTGACACCCACTTGGGTGGTGAGGACTTTGACAACCGTCTCGTCAACCACTTCGTGAACGACTTCAAGCGCAAGAACAAGAAGGATCTTTCCTCCAACGCCCGTGCTATGCGTCGTCTCCGCACTGCTTGCGAGCGTGCCAAGCGCACCCTCTCGTCTTCCGCCCAGACCTCTATTGAGATCGACTCTCTCTTCGAGGGTATTGACTTCTACACCTCCATCACCCGTGCTCGTTTCGAGGAGCTCTGCCAGGACCTCTTCCGCTCTACCATCCAGCCCGTCGACCGCGTTCTCGCTGATGCCAAGATCGACAAGAGCCAGGTCCACGAGATCGTCCTCGTCGGCGGTTCCACCCGCATTCCCCGCATCCAGAAGCTCATTACCGACTACTTCAACGGCAAGGAGCCCAACAAGAGCATCAACCCTGACGAGGCTGTCGCCTACGGCGCCGCTGTCCAGGCCGCTATCTTGTCTGGAGACACCTCCTCCTCCTCCACCAAGGAGATTCTTCTCCTCGACGTTGCTCCCCTGTCTCTTGGTATCGAGACTGCTGGTGGTATGATGACCAAGCTCATTCCTCGCAACACCACCATTCCCACCAAGAAGTCTGAAGTCTTCTCTACCTTCTCCGACAACCAGCCTGGTGTCCTTATTCAGGTCTACGAGGGTGAGCGTCAGCGCACCAAGGACAACAACCTTCTCGGCAAGTTCGAGCTCACCGGTATCCCCCCGGCTCCTCGCGGTGTTCCCCAGATTGAGGTCACCTTCGATCTCGATGCCAATGGTATCATGAACGTCTCCGCTGTCGAGAAGGGCACCGGCAAGTCCAACAAGATTGTCATCACCAACGACAAGGGCCGTCTCTCCAAGGAGGACATTGAGCGCATGCTTGCTGATGCCGAGAAGTACAAGGATGAGGATGAGAAGGAGGGCCAGCGTGTCTCTGCCAAGAACGGTCTTGAGTCTTATGCCTACTCTCTCCGCAACACTCTCGGCGACCCCAAGGTCGACGAGAAGATTGAGGCTGATGACAAGACCAAGCTCACTGCTGAGATCGACAAGATTGTCCAGTGGCTCGACGACAACCAGCAGGCTACCAAGGAGGAGTATGAGGAGCACCAGAAGGAGCTCGAGGCTGTCGCCAACCCCATCATGATGAAGTTCTACGGCTCTGGTGGTGAGGGTGGCATGCCCGGCGGTATGCCCGGCGGTGCCCCTGGCGGCTTCCCCGGTGCCGGTGCTGGTGGCGCTCCTGGCGCTGGCGGCGACGACGGCCCTACCGTCGAGGAGGTCGACTAAATGCTTTGATACCCCCCGAACCGCACCATCGCGCTGGACTTTCAGATTGGCTCATGTCCACACTCGGAGGCTCTTTTGAAGTTGCAGAGATGATGAATGATTATTTAGAGTTGCATTTCTTTTGTACTACTGGCTTTGCATTACGGTTATGATAAGGGAAACCAAAAGAATGAGCCGGCGATTTGCTGGCAGATGTATTTTAATGATGAGGGTAAATCAATAAACCCGTTAGACAATACTGCACTCCATTGACCACTCGTGATTACCATTCTTTGCCTTTGTAGAGACGGCTAGCCATAAAGTTGTGTTATGCCCTCAAGAAAAGAGGTGACGCCCGCAAGGTTGATACTTGCTGATTGCAATATACTGCTAGGAGCCTTGTGGCCGTCTCAAGAGTGACGTATGTACATTCGTGGTGCTATTATTACATATTACAACAATGCTATACGTTATACTTTATCCGACTTGTCAAAGCCCAGCTCGTCGCGAATCTTTTGTCTGCGTTCAAGTTCCATGATACGCCACTCCTCGTCCCCCATGCTCGGCGGATCGATCTTCTCCGTGAACGCGGTGCCCGGCGGCATCTTTTCCCTGCGCGCCTCCCACACGTCCTCGCTGTTCGCCTTGCCGGGCGCGTAGTATTTTTGGTACTCCTTGTTGCGGTAGTGGGTGCGAATCGCCTCCTCCTTGATCGGGCCCGACGACGCCCGATGGCGCATGCAGAACCAAAAGTCGTCCCACTTGTCCGAGCACGTCCGCATCCGGCCGTCGCGATACACGGCGTTCCACTGCCCGCCGAGCAGGTTGCAGCCCCAGGCCGCGTCAAAGTGCTCCCGGCAAGACATCTCGGTCGGCAGCAGCGACTCGGACAGGGGATCCCGCCGCGGCGCGTCGGCCTCCTTGTAGAGCGGGCTGTCCTTGGGTGTGATCATTTTGGCGAGCCACTCGGGCAGTGGCGACGGCTTGGGTTCGTGCGGGGGGCCGGCGCGGCTCGAGGAAGACGCTGCGGCGGCCTCTTCGGCTTTGAAAAAGTCCATGAATTTTTGAAGTTCGGCATCCTCTGCGGACTGCGGCTTCGGTTGTGTTGGTTGTGTGGGAGGTGGCTGTACGGTGGAGTTTGTGGGAGGGATGTTTTGCGATGTTGGCGCCTCGGTAGGCTTCGAATCCGAGGACCAGAGCCAGCCCATGATGGCGATGTGATGTGGGTGTTTGCGCAAGTCGCTGGTGTCTGCTTATTGAAGCTGCCGATGCGCTGTCGCCGGTTGGGGAGGATGGCGCGGAGATGGCTTCACCGCTTTAGTAGTTGCAAATTGATTCGACTCGTGAAACCAATCAATTAAGCGACGCTTTATTCACGACGATACACTTTCATGTTGAGTAACGTATTGGGACCGAAGCCTGGATCGTGACTTTTTCTAGCATCTCCTGCGTGGGGAAAAACGATCCGCCGACCCGCTCTTCTTCTTCTTACCAGGGAGCGAAGCTGTCGAGCCAATGACCTCATGATGGAGCGATGAAGCCGCAACAATAGGCTGAACATGCATGGATTGTCTGTCTAGATAATGAAAAATAAATTTGATGAAAGTATCGAGATCGTTTTAGGGCATTCTTTCTAGCTAACATTTTGTGTAAAATATTTTACACTCGGTCCAATATTGCTAAATGCACTGTATTCGCCCCTGCCTGTAATTTGACTTAGCTGGTGGGGAGCCTGCCAACTTCCAAGCTCCCAGAACTTGGACCTTGACAAGCTCAACTTTAGCTAACCCACGCGGTCAAGCTCACAATGAGTACCTGAATACGATCCTAAAACACGCCATATAACTATTCACATGATGTACACGCGCGCGCGGCTCGCCGCTATGGCTGTGCGGCCGCTGGCGCGAACATCAACACCTCTGCGGCCTTGCCTCGTGCGCTGCAGCCCGGCTTTGCGCCGCATCGACCACGGAGCTCTTCGACAAGCAATCGCTGGACGAGCATGGGAGAGCACGACAGCGAGGCTTCCACCCGCTGCTGTGGCGCCGACCACCGAAGATGCACCGGAACATAAAATAACAGAGGAGAAAGACACTGGCCACTTTGAGGTCAAGGACAATGAAGCCATTCTCTTCTTTGACAGTATGCATCAGACATGAGAACATGGCGATACATCACGCTGACAGATTCTTTAGACATCTTTCCACTCAAGATCATGAATCTACTGCGCAGAAATGAGAGCGACAGCGAGCTGGCAGACTTGATGCGCCGCTTTGATAGCTCGAGACTCGGCATTATGGATCCCATTCGTTTGGTCAAGATGGCCATCCCCGAGGATATGCCTATAAAAGTAACAGAAATCCTACCACGATTGAAGGATGGCGGCGCATTTGTCAAGTTTCGATACAGCTCTGAACTTGACCCGGCAGACATTGAAGGTAGGCGAAGATGCTCTACGTCATAACTCCGTGCTAACTGCCTCTTTCTGCAGCAACACTGAAAAAGAGGCTCAAAGAGAAGCCTCTCAAGCCGTGGTTTAACCCTTTTCGAGGAATTCACGCTCGCTTGGTACGAGGCACGCCGTGGCTCGAGGACCTGCATCGATACCCCGGCAGCGTGCTCCGAGTCGAATTCGTGCCCGCCGAAGTTGGCACGACGCCCGAGACACTCCCGGAGGAGGTCTTGTACAGCGTCTTTCGTCGATACGGCAAGATTGCCGACATTATTCCGCAGCCTGCAGACTCGAAAGAAGTACCCAAATACGCCAACGTTGGCTTCCCTCTCCTGCGCGACGCCATCATGGCAAGGAATTGCGCGCACGGATTTGTCGTCCCCAAATCGCAAGGCGGCGGAGCGGCTGGAACGATGCTGCGAATATCCTACGTCAAGCGAGTAAAGGGCCACAATATCTGGAACTGGATAACGAGCCACCCGCGCATTGTGTTCCCGATCATCGCCGCTCTCCTCGCTGGCTTTTCCGTCATCATTTTCGACCCCATTCGCCAATTCTTTATTCGTCTACACATTCAACATTCCTTCAATTTCAGCGAGTCAAGATTATACAAGTGGTTTCAGAGTCACCGGCAGTCATTCTCCTTTGGACGACGTCGCGAGCAGTGGGAGAACCTGAGCGGCGTGGTATGGAATCATCGCTTGGATGTCATCAGCCAGCTGCGGGAGTGGCTCGACGTGACTTCAGACAACTTCATTATTGTGACCGGACCAAGAGGTTCTGGTAAAGTTGAAGTCGTCATGAAGAAAGCCCTTGAAAGCCGTAGAGACGTCGTGCTGATTGACTGCAAGCCTATTGTTGAAGCGCGCGGCGAGTCGGCCATGATTGGCAGACTTGCTTCCGCCGTCGGGTACCGACCCGTCTTTTCCTGGGCCAACAGCGTAAGCAGCATGATAGACCTTGCTGTTCAAGGCACCACTGGTGTCAAGGCTGGCTTCTCCGAGACGCTCGAATCCCAGCTTACCAAGATCTTGTACACCACCGCGAGCGCACTGAGGGATGTGGCCTTGTCCGGAAGATCAAGCAAGGAAAAAGACGGCACAACCTCGGAGGATGCTTGGCTCGAGGCTCATCCAGAGCGACGACCTGTCATTGTGATTGACAACTTCCTGCACAAGAGTGAGGAGCAGGGTATTGTCTATGACAAAATTTCGGAGTGGGCAGCCTCAGTGGTTCAAAATCACGCTGCGCAAGTCATCATCTTGACCAGCGAAAACGCCTACTCTAAGCCTCTGACTAGAGCGCTACCCGATCGCGTCTTCCGTGTCGTCTCTCTGGGGGATCTGGATCACGGGGTAGCGAAGAAATACATCATGGGACGTATTCAGAATGATCGTGAAGCTGCGGCAGAGCGAAAAGAAAAGGTCGAAGGAAACGACAAGGCAAAAGGGGCCCCCAACCTTCGTGGCCTCGACACGGCCATCGAGACACTTGGCGGCCGCCTGGTGGATCTTGAGTCTCTCGCCCGCCGCATACAGGCCGGCATGAGCCCATCCGACGCGACCGATGAAATTGTCACAGAAAGCGCGGTAGACATTGTCAAAATGTTCCTCCTAGGCAAGGGTAGCGACGCTGCGGAAAAGAAGTGGTCCACCGCCCAAGTTTGGTATCTCGTTAAGGGCCTGGCCAAGGACTCGTCGCTCATCTACAACCAAGTCCTCCTAACACCCACCTTTTCCTCCTCGATGACCTCGTCCGCCAGCGATGGCGAGGCCGCATTAGAGTCTCTCGCCGCGGCGGAGCTCATCTCCATTCGCTCTGACCGCGGCCATCCACGCCTCATCACGGCCGGCAAGCCTCTGCAGCAGGCCGCGTTTGCGCGCTTGGTCAACGACCGCGTGCTTGTGGCCAAGATGGACCTTGCGCAGCATAATGAGATGGCTAATATTGAGGCCAAGAAGATTGCCGGCGCCGAGAATGAGCTGGCGCTGCTCGGCAACCTGCCGCGGCAGACGAGCGAGTCGGCGGGCCGCATCCAGTATCTGCTGGTGCAGATTGATACCTCGCAACGTAAGATTGAGGACTTGGATAAGCATATGGCGACGTGTAAGAAGATTTTGAGCGAAGAAGTCTAGTGAGATTTATTTTTCTGCAAAGGCGTTTCTTGGTCTTTTCAGGGACGGGGAAATTGGGGTTGGGATCTTGGGGAGGAAAGGTAACTAGTCACTACCTATGGAGTAACACTACTCACTACGCTGCAGCACGTATGTACAAACTCAACTTTGTTCAAATGTGCTAGAATATCCGGCGGTGGCAAGACCGCTCAAATTGTGATACCAATTAGCCCTTTAGGACCATGTATTGCTTCGATCCAGAGTCAAAAGCCAAAGATTCAGGTGTTACATCAGATCGGCCGGTTGCGATGGAGGGGCAACGCGGAGCTATGGTGGGGTGGCGCCTGGCAGCTGTGTCCTTGGCCTCGAACTTTCTCACTTTGCGCGAGCTCTCTCTCTCTCTCTCTCTACATCGAATAGATTTCTCGCACGCTTCAATTAGATTTCGCAGCCCATCATGTTGATCCAAGAAAGCCACGTCGATGTCACGTCGACTGCGAATGGCAAGGAGAGCACTATGCGTAAATTACCCCTCCTTCCTCTCCTCCCATCCCCCACCATCCTGAACCTCTCATCCCGCTTCTAACAACTCATTGTGATGATCAGGCATCTTTGTCTTTCACCCTGCCATTCCCGGGTTCCCCAACGCGTAAGAATTTTTTCTCTGAAATGTTTCTCAACGATCAAAAACTTGACGTGGAGAAATTGTAGGCGCTTCCCCGGAGTCTGTCTCTTTAGCGAAATCTACCAAGGTTCTGTCTGCCGGCGCTCCCGGTTGAGCTTGCACCGACGCTTCATGCTGACATGTGGTGGGCAGTGACGGGTCCCGTGGCACGATTCGCAAGACAGATTGCCGGCCAAGGCTACATTGTCGCCGCGCCGTCGTCGTATCACGACTTTACTGGCCCGGAGCCGCTCAAATACGATGCCGCGGACACGGACAAGGGCAATCAATACAAGATCCAAAAGGTACCCATCAGTCAGCATTACAAAGCTTGAAGCCCGTATTACTACACAGCTAACGAGGGGCAGACGCTCGAGTCTTACGATGCCGACTCGTATGCTACCGTCGACCACCTTCTCAGCCTGCCGACCTGCACCGGCCTGATCGGCGCCACCGGCATGTGTCTCGGCGGCCATCTCGCCGTCCGCGCCGCCGTACGTCCTTTCCCTCTCTCCTTCTCCCAGAAGAAACCCCAGACTGCTAAAATTGCCCTCTTCAGCTTGACCCCCGCATCACCGCCTGCGTCTCCTACTTTGCCACCGACATTCACAGCCGCACGCTCGGCCCCCATTCCAGCGCCAACACGTCTGCCGATGCGCCTCCCGACAGCATCCACACGCTCGACCAATTCGACCGCTTCAAGGGCGAAGTTGCCATGATCTTTGGCGTCAAGGACACGCACGTGCCGGACGCGGGCCGTGACCTGATCCGCGCCAAGATGCGCGCGGCCGGGGTCGTTGCCAGCTTTCACGAGTTTGCGTGGGCGCAGCACGCATTCATTCGGGACGAGCTGAGCAAGGGCCGCTACGACCCGGCGGTGACCAAGGTGTGCTTCGAGGTGCTGCTCGAGGTTTTTGGGCGGGTGCTCAAGACGGACCTGGGTGTCAAGGGCAACGTGCCGGCGGTCGAGCACGATTGTTAGTGCCACGTAAGTACGTGAGTCTTTAATTCCATGCTTCAATGATGTAAGACTTGGGATTATGTCATCTCTGCCTCGTGTGTTTGAAGCTTTTACTTTATCGGACATCCCCGACGCCAGTTACAGCTCCGTACGCAAGCAATTCCTCCGACGAAATACGGAAACGTAGGCACCCAGAAGCCCATCACTTTCCAAAGAATGACAGTGCGTTGAGCAGAATGCATATCGGAAGTAATCGTGGTGTACTACTCCGAGTCACGGTGTATAATGCGAGTCCAAGGTGGAAAGCAACTGCTGGCGCAGGAGGGGGGGGGCAGCAATTAAATTGAAACCAGGGTTGCGACGAACGGTGTTGAAGGTGACTCGCGAGAGAGTGAAAGAAGAGATGTGTGTGCGTTGGAAATGAGATGATAGACTGCACAAACATCTTCAGCAGGTCAAACCGCAATTGCTCGCCCATTTTTAAAATAAGGTGCATGATGGCTTCGTATTATGCCTGGCTTACGATGAAGCTCGTGATGATTGGAAGACGGAACCACTTTACGCGAAACTTCGCGACTGGACGCGTTTAGCGTGCGTGCGTGCTGACGAAAAGACCCGCCTTTTCTCACCCCAGCAACCCGAGCCGCGTTCCTCCCTCTGCCGCAACCGGTTTTACCAGCAGGGGTCAAAGACTTTGAACCCTCGTCGACCCTGTTTCTGTTGCATTCGACGACGGCCCTGCATCTGTGACGCAACATTCTTGGCTCGTCACCACCCCTCTCAGACCCCTCTCCACTCATTGCTGGTTTCTTTCTTTTTTTTTCAACACCTCTGCATTTTCGTCAGCGATACTTTTTGACTTCCATCACCTCGATTTACGCAGTTTACTTTGCTACGCACAGCCCGCAATCAGGTCCGAAAAGCTCGATTGACACTTCATCACCCCCCGCCCTTTGATACGATCAAAAGCCATCGCCGCTGTTGCTGCTGGCCCAGCTACGACGAAAAAAAAAAACGATTCCATTACAGCATAACCGCATTCCCAAAACCACATCATCATGTCCAACAGCGCCCGGGTAAAGCGTCCCTTTGCCGGCGCCTCGGCGGACCCGTCCCAGCGCCAAATCACCTCGTTTTTTGGCGCGCAGTCTGGCGCGCCGGTGGTCACCGAGGCCGCACGCCAACAGCAGCAGCAGCCTGCGCTGCCGGCTAATGTCCAGTCGAACCTGCTGAGCGTCGGCATGCGCGTCCGCAAGTCTGTGCCTGAAGGCTACAAGACCGAGGGCCCCAGCGCCTTTAAGCTGTGGACCGACAACACGACCCCCAACGCTCCCAAGATCCGCAGCAGCAGCAACACCACCAGAGTTGCCTCGCGAGAGCTCCTCCCGTTTTGCGGAATCAATAAAGTGGGAGGGTTCGAGTCGCAGCCCGCCTTTGCGCACGACGACGTTCCCGACGAGGATGCCTTGCCCGAATTGACAATGTCCCAAGAGACGGTCGATGGCAGCGAGACCGCCACGCCCTCCCGCAAGCGCATCTATGATGACGATGAAGAGGATGCTCATCAGCTCAATGGCGAGCTTAGCCCCGGAAGCCGTGGCAATGCGCGCCTTATGGCCGTTCCTCACTCTCGAGCGAAGAAGGGTACTGCCTACAGAAACATTGGCCAGGAAAATAGAAAGGCCGAACAAGACTTTGAAGAGGCCGAGTTCCTAGTATTCGACGACGAGCAAGACCTGGACATGGCCATTTGATGGCGACGAAGCCAAAGGGCATCATAATGTACACTACGCTGAGAACTGTGAGATGATAGACTTTTTCCTCCTACTCTCTTCTTCCTTTTGAAGGCGCACGGCGTTGGGACTCGCGAATTCAGAACGGCGGTGGATATCGCGCAGTGGCAATACCGTTTTGGTTTTCCACTTGGGGTTCAATTAGAAATGTGTTTTGGCTTTTCGCCAGGGTATCTTAGTTTAGTTGACTGTTATACAGCAAGGACCAGCAAATACAAACATCCGTTACTTTACATGCCGACAAATGGCTCCCGGAATTCGAGCAAATCTCTTTGACCGTAGAACTCGCCGGTAATTGTCAGTATCATGTTGAGCGTCGCTCGCATGTTCATTCGAGACCGCTCCCGAACGGCATCAAGTTCCTCCTCGTCGTCTTCGTCATCAGACGTCTGTACCTCCAGTCGAGCTAGGAATGCGGCTTTTGCAGCTTCCAATGATTCGTCCTTCTCAGAGGTTTTCTCCTCTCTGTCCTCACAGATTTCTCCCTCGTCAGAGTCAGACTCGAGATCCATTGCCACATCATCTTCACCCTCATCCGCCGCTTCGGTGCTTTCTTCACCCGCACCTTGATCTGGTTTGTCGTTCATCTCTTCAGGTTCATCTCCGTTTGGCGCACCATCTTCTTCTTGGCCATCAAGCTCGTCGGCAACAAGCTCGTCATCGCTGCTACTAGCGTCCACAGCATCATTCACCCCTAGCCCTCCCTTTGCAAGCTCTTCGCGGAGCGCAGCCATTTCAGAAAGGCTTCTACCCAGCAGCACAGCTCTTCGACCAAGGTCCCGCACCCATCCGATTTCCGAGTGATTGAGCTCTCCTCGCTCTGGTAGCTTTGCCAGTAGAGCCCATATCCAGCGACTGGTGCGCTCAGGCATCGGATAGCCACGGCGCAAAAACTTTCCCCCGAGCATGAGGCGCAGTATCCTGATGACGGTGTCTTTTGACATGAGGGATACTTGCAGTGGAGTAGGGTCTGTATTGCGCAGGAGCGGTGGCCAGACTTTGATGGCCGACGACCCCGGACCAAAGGCAGCGACATACGTGGCTTGTGAAGACGTAATGCGCTTAGCTGCATCCACTGGGGGAGGTCTGTTCAAGATAGCACGCAGGCGGTGATACTGATGCATGATGGCACTAGAGTATGCCTCCAACACGGCTGCTTCTGAAACCTCTCCATCTTCGTCCTCAGTCTCGTCCCAGTTATCGCTGCCCTCGGCATCATCGCGATAGTAATCTCGGCCGATATATGCGCCGTCTTCGTAGAAGCCCCGGCCGTCGCCGAGACCAGTGATGTGTATGCTTTTATCGACTTCATCGTCCGCTTCGACCCTGATATCGCCATCATCCGATTCCTCATGTGTGATTCTGACAAAGTCTTTTGGTATCTGCGGCCCAATCTGCCTTCGAGGCGCCGCAAGAACGTGTGGTATCTCGGATGCTTGAGATCTGGAGTTGCGCCGCCAAATTAGCTGCAACTTGTAAAGGGCAAAAGAATGCTACTTACCTCACGGACATCAGATATGCCATTGCGTCGGTATCATCCTCAAAATCAGATTCCTCCCCGACAGGAATAGTTGTTGCGTTGTGGTACGTGGCAAACACATAATTTTGGCCAGAGTTGGGATCTACCGATGAGCTCTGCTTTGGTCGCGCCTTCCGCGCGCGCTTCTGCTCTGGCTTCGACGGCCCCGACTCGTCCACCTGCTCATGCTCGCGCTTAATAGACATGTATGTTGGCCCTTGGAAAGAAGCGATCGCACAATCTCTACAGTTTGCAAGGAATGTGCAAATCGTGCGCCGAGATGCTGCGCGTGGTGAAACTCAGAGGTCTGGCTGCCCAACGTAAAACCCTTTGCGCGCTGAAATCATAGAGCTCCAGCGGTGGTGTGATGCAATGACGCTCGGAGTGAGCTAGATGTGTGTGGAGCTAGTGTATGCCACTAGAGAGCTGAATCTTATAAAGTCGAGTTTAAATCTTGTTAAGTGACCTATAACTAATTAGGAATACATATGTAAGGTCCGTACATAATTTTATAAGAGATTATATATAGGTTAGAATAAGCCTATTATGACGTACGCCTATACCGTCAGACCACAGGGCAAAAGATTAGGTTATTAAAAGCAGTTCTAGTAATTAACGAAGGCGTAATAGCAGTATATATAACGCAGAGTAGTGCCACTATAACA